TGTACTATCAAAAATAAAGGTGAAAAACCCGGAAAAAAAATTATATTAAAAAAAAAATTAACAAATGGTTCTTTATTCGCAAATGCTTTATGCTATATTCAGTGACATCTAATTTGTATCTTTGAATGGAATTACAGATAGTGCCTTTATGATAAATATAAGCGGAACAACTCACTCGGGTTACTTTGATGTGTAATGGCCAGTACTTTATGCATATTTTCTCTTCATAATTTCTTACTTAGCATCATTTTCCTATCTTTTCATTACACCGACAGCCCTCTGCACCTGCTCGAACTCTCGTTTGTTTAAATATTCAGGCCCACCACATCTTTGTATAGAGCACAATGCAATAAACTGGGAGAAATGAGCTGAGAAATCTCAGCAGCAGTGCCAGCTTAATATCTGAAGGGCTCTTGTAGCCCTGTTCTGATACCCCTCCTCACTTCAAAAGCTGAAACAGTTACCCGCAGCCTGCAGCACCGTGCCGGTCCTTATATAGACAGCAGACATTAGGTAAACGCAAGGTAGACATGAGGTAAACTGAAAACAGGCACTTTTCAGTCAACAGCTGTATTCATAACTGCGATATGCCTCTCTGCACTGGCACTGGGGTGCACCGCTGCAAGATTGTGTGTATAAGTGTTTTATGTGGACAATGGGGTGGTCGGGTTTACAAAGTAGAGTCATAAGCAGCCGTTTGAACACAGGGAAATGCAGGCTGTGTGGTATTACAGATATTTGTATTGCTTTGACTTTCAGGTCAGAGACCCTCTGCAAAACAAAGCACAAGCCAAGACTGCATGTGTCCTTATTGGATGAAGTCTTATCGATGGACACGGCGTTCTCCAGCTTTTCTTTGAATTGCTTTATCAGCCCAGGAAAGACATGCATCTCTTCTGTTTCCAGGCATTTTCATTCCAAATGTTTCATCACATAACTATGTTCTCCATCAATGTGTCCATGTAAAACCAGTTCAGCCGTGTTTTGTGAAAGGCAGTAGAGCCTTTCTGGCCAATTACGGGACTGTAGTGCAGTACAAAAACTACGTTCCTCCATATACCCAGCACCTCTCATTCTCTCAGTCGAAAAAAAAAATGGCCTCTGGCTGAATCAGCCGTCGACCCCTGAATCAGTCCATTAACTGGGTCAGCAGATAGCAGGCTTATCACTTTTCACTCAGGCCAAACATAGCATTTAGCTTGTTTTAAAACGGTCTGCTTATTGGATATCTAGTTTACATGTGATTGTGTTAACATGGGAAACCTTTCGCTGAGGGGCTTGCCTCTTGCCTTTTAAATTTTTTTTTAATTTGGTGCTTCTTATGAATGCAAGAGTGTATGGGTGTTTCCCAATACTGGGTTGCAGCTGGAAGAGCATCCGATATGTGAAACATATGCTGGTGTAACCCTGCCGGTCCGCCACCGAGCTGGGATCGAACCGGCAACCTTCGGCATGGAAGTCGGGTGCTCTACCAAGGAGGCTAAAGACCATGGCCTCTAGCATCTGTCGCTAGAGCACCTTTAGAGGTCAGAGGAGTGAGGTTTACCTGTACAGCACTTACTAGCTGGCCTCCGTTACACTGGAATTGTTGGCGAGTCATTCCGCTATAGTGACCCCTTGGCATTAACATTAATAGTAATAGTTAGTTGATGCTGTGTTTGTATTTCAGACTTCCACATTTATGTTGATGGGAAAGATGAGATGTATCCAGTAAGGTCAGTGGCTCTCTAGACTGTGGAAACGTATAGCAGTTTTAGAAGGTTCACCAAAACAACAACAGCTCTGGACCTGCAATATAGCACACGGTCCAAATTAGCATCTGGTTTGTGCTGGTGGAAAAGGGGTTTCCGAATGCCTTAGAAATGAGGTCTTCACCCTACCCACGTAGCAAAATTTCTCTGGCCCAGCTCTGGCCCACACAATCAGGTTTTGCTTGGCCCACATGCCGCAGTGAATTACGGTACATGACTGGACCAAATCTGGCTTCCAGACAAGGGCCAAACATGGACCATATCTAGGCCAAGTCACAGCCAAGTTAATAACTCATAACTGGGCCTGAACTGGGCCAGATAGGTTGGTGTGTCATGATTGCAATGAAATTGATAAACCCATGGAGTGATGCGCTTTAGGCACACTATGGGCACGCTTTTTCTCAAAGTGACCTGATTGGTAGAATTTTTTTTTTACTCAAAAATGATTTTAGTGTATTTTAAATGTGGGTCAAAACTGGCCAAACTCAAATGGCCCACTTATCAAATTTTTAAATCTGGGCCAAATACTACGTTTTTCATCTGGCCCAAATCTTGTGTGCCGCCTTAAAGACGGTGCCACCTCTGCCAAACCCGGGCCATGTTTGGCCCACATGCTGTATGCCAGTGCCGGATGAATGCCTGCTGTGCCAGCTTTATGCCAAATCTGGGCCAGAATTCTTTGCTACTAGGGTACCCACATAGCAAAATTTCTCTGGCCCAGCTCTGGCCCACACAATCAGGTTTTGCTTGGCCCACATGCCGCAGTGAATTACGGTACATGACTGGACCAAATCTGGCTTCCAGACAAGGGCCAAACATGGACCATATCTAGGCCAAGTCTCAGCCAAGTTAATAACTCATAACTGGGCCTGAACTGGGCCAGATAGGTTGGTGTGTCATGATTGCAATGAAATTGATAAACCCATGGAGTGATGCGCTTTAGGCACACTATGGGCACGCTTTTTCTCAAAGTGACCTGATTGGTAGAATTTTTTTTCTTTACTCAAAAATGATTTTCGTGTATTTTAAATGTGGGTCAAAACTGGCCAAACTCAAATGGCCCACTTATCAAATTTTTAAATCTGGGCCAAATACTACGTTTTTCATCTGGCCCAAATCTTGTGTGCCGCCTTAAAGACGGTGCCACCTCTGCCAAACCCGGGCCATGTTTGGCCCACATGCTGTATGCCAGTGCCGGATGAATGCCTGCTGTGCCAGCTTTATGCCAAATCTGGGCCAGAATTCTTTGCTACTAGGGTATGAACCCCATGACAATCCTCTCCAACAAATGTCCTAGAAACACCCTGGCAGTCACAGAGATGCTCTAGCATTCATATATTAGCCTCTTTCTACATTCCATAGAAACTGCACAGCAAGTAATAGCCAATCAAGCTTTCAGAACAACCTAGCAACACCATAGCAACACTCTAGGAAACACATAGCCCTTGTTTTGTTTTCGGGAATCCACTAGAGGCTACCATGTATACCTTTTCATATGTCAAATTTCTGGATGTTTCCCAGTGATGGGTTGTAACTGGAAGGGCATCCACTGTGAAAAACATATACTGGATAAATTGATGGTTCATTCCGCTGTGGCGACCCCAGATTTATAAAGGGACTAATCCCAAAAGAAAATGAATGAATGAAAATGCATAGAGACAACCAATTGTATAACTTAATTTAAACTGACAGGTGCCTTTAAATGTTTAGTGGTCATTTCTCTGCAAGGTTATGGAAGTGGATGCTGTTTACTTCTTTGGCTTGAAATGTAAGACAATCCATTCATTTTTACTGCTAATTACTGAGATATGTTGTCTTGCCAATACTTCCCCTCTGAACACAGACAGACACACACACACAAAGGTATTCACGTGTGCTTGGTTTTTTTTTACATTGAATTTAAAAAAGCGTCTATCAGTAGAGGAATGACCTAATCTTATTCCTTGCCAATAGCCTGAAACACAACTAGTGCTCGAACACAGACTTTTTGGCAAAACTCCTCCAGACCAAACAAGGAGTGCTAGACAATCTGGGTTTAAAACTCAGCAAGGGGTGAGGAGGGGGATATGGTACCTTTCCAGAAAACCCCCTTGGTTTCTTTTCAAAATTTGACACAAACTGCCAGAATGTATGCGCAGGCAAGAATCAAACAGGCCTTTGCGAGCAATTATTACAACAACTCATGAGTGTAAGTAAACAGTCAAATGGAGTGATACATTTTTAAATGAAAGAATATCATAAAAAATGAGACCACTTACAACAAGCATGACTGTCAAGATAAGGGAACGTTTAGGCTAGTGAATGACGTTCACAACCGTTTTAGCATAATGTATGACTCAAACTTCAATTGTGATATCTTCTGGATGTCATTCAGCCTAAAAGACCGTTTGAAGTACTTTACAATTTATTACCTATTAAGGAGACAGGCAACTTAAAGATGAAGAGGCTATTTATGTATTGGTCCCAGTTGTCAGCCTCCATTCTCAAAGGTCGCGTTGAACTGTAGGGATGCACCATTATTTCAAAAGTCTTCATGATTTAGCCGTCAACACCCCAGTTGGATCTAAAGGCTTTGGGGCTAGAGGGGTTATTAAATTCTGTGTTGTCAACCTTCAATAATGTGTTCCAACACACACCCATTTAGTGTTTTTCCATCACATACATGATTTCATGCATTCCTGGGGGACTCATATGTTAATAACAATAGAGTGAAATCTGGAGTATGGCCAAGTGACTGTAATCCTCAGGAGGTGAGCTTTCTTCCTTCCTGAACGATTGAATGATGGGTCTGATTCTTAAATATTACTTACACCCCCGTAGCTGGAAACAATAGATCGCATAATATCCTTATCTGGAGTGATTTCTTGCCATTTTTGATTGGATAAAAAAAGTAATGCTCTCCATGAGAATATCTGGCAGACGTGCTGGTCGGTGAGGTAGATGTTAAGAGAGAAAGAGAGAGGCTTTCTCGCTCTACGATCCTCAAATATCTGTCTTTTTTTTGGGGGCCAACACTTTGACTCATGTTGGCAGAAGTGACTCAAATAAATGCACTAGCACCAGTCATTTAGGGGGGGTAGGGGTGGGGTTTAAAAAAACCTGAAAAAAAGCATATTGTACAAGACCCAAGTGTGTTAGTTTCCCTAATTACGTAGTGTTCCTTCATGCTTACATTCTTTTCTCTCTCTCTCTCTCTCTCTCTCTTTCATACTGACCCCCCACCCCTTATCCTTCTTGTTCAAGACATGGGTGTGCAGTGATTTGCTTTTGGGGGATAAAACCCACAGTTTGGGAGTGGAGAGGGTTATTACAGAGCAGGATGGCCCGGAGGAAGGTACCTCTGCTCTTGCATGGATTTCTCCTGCTGGTTCTGTGTAGATCCTCCCTTCAAGGAGGTAAGGTGTCTTCAAACTCATTCGACTGTTTCTTATTGCATTACAGGTGTACTGCAGTTATAGCATCAATTGCACACTGCTCGCTGTGGTTCTGATGGAATGGTGTGAATTGTTGCAGAATGGCTTATTGTTGCAAGATGGCTCATTGTGTAAATTTAATTGGAGGTCTTGTTCTATACTGATCAGTGTATCTTAAACTTTTTAGTGGTTGGACAACACTGTCAACATGTGGTTTACTTTACAAGCTGACCCTTAAAGTGAGTTTGAGTAAAAATAATAAACACATCTTGTTTTATAATAGTTTTTGTAATGTTTGAATTTTATGAATTCTGTAATAAACGTCATGACGATCTATTTAAGCAACAAAAATAGTTAGCTAAGCATTTACTGTAAATGTTTATAGATAAAACAAGGATTCCCACTTGCCTTTTACTCATGTAGAAGGAAAGATCTGAGAAGTTCTACTCTAGAGCATTACATCATACACTAACAACCTTCCAGCATTTCCCAGTGGGTTTGTAGAACAGAGAACTTCAGTTTTTATAGTTCAAAGCTCTTGGATAAGGTTGGGTGTAGGATGTTGTTCTTTGAATAAATCCCATCCATTCTGTTTACCTATGCCTCCAAATTGCATGCGGTAATGAATTCAGTGCTGTTCGAGGCTTCACATGAAAGATGTAGAGATTAGTTGGAAGCCCTTGGGTATGTGGCATCATCAGTGAGCAAAGGACAGGCATGGTCCTCATAAACTGGTAATGTGTTGCAGGAGTGAAACATTGTCCGACATAACAATAAAATAAAAAAGTATGTGTTTGCAGTGCCAACAGTTTTGTTTACAGCCTTTTAGCAGATTTGGTCATTTCTGCTTTGAATTCAGTGTAATAATGTTTCAGAATTCTCTTTATTTTCCCACTTCCTATCAACTTCTGCATTTCTTTTTAGTCAAATACACATGTAAATGATTCCTTATGGCCTGATCTGGCACGCTACACTGCATGGGACATATTAATAAAGGGATTTATTAATGTTCCCTTTCTCTCTTAGGAATCTACATACCAGCTGGTGCAGGGGGAGGCCCTGGAGCCGGATTAGGGGCTGGTGTTGGAACTGGAGCCGGACTAGGCATTGGAACAGGTCCTGGGGGTGGATATGGTGCTGGAATCGGTGGTGCAGGGCCAGGAGTTGGTCCTGGAGGAGTTGGAACAGGATTAGGTCTAGGTACTGGTCTTGGTGGTCTCGGAACAGGAACTGGCATTAGGCCTGGAACTGGTGAGTGTTTACATTTTATTCTTGAACATTTCATGATTAGTGTCAACAGCAGTGTTATGACGATCTTGTCCTTGGGGTTGGACTAGGTGCTGGAGGTCTTGGGGGAATTGGGCCTGGTGGTGGAGGGCTTGGTACAGGAGGACTTGGTACTGGTGGATTAGGCACAGCAGGACTTGGAACAGGTTGTTAATTAAAACTTTACTTAACTAATGTAATTATGAAAACAGAGCATCAAATTATTTAAATCTGCAACAATCACTTTGATCTTTTTTACAGGGCCATTTGTCAAGCCTCCTAAAACAGGTGAGTTGTAACAAAAGCAAAACATTTTTGATTAATTTTGTTTATAATGATTGGCAGAAAAAAAATGTCTGTATATCAGTTGAAAATGTCATTGTGTCATGGCACAGGAGGATATGGAGGTCTACCAGGAATTGGAGCAGGTGGTACAGGTGTTGGTCTTGGAGGCCTTGGATTGAGGCCAGCGGGTCCTGGTGTTGGAGGTTTAGTACCTGGTGGTTTTGGTGTTGGTACAGGGGTTGGAGGTACTGGCACAGGAGTACCAGGTACAGAAACTCTACTGTATCAAGTTACACTTAAAGTTAGAAACACCATATTCCTATACAGACAATTTAATTTTTTTTCTTTAGCAATTGGTGTAGGCACTGGAGTGGGAGGACTTGGCATTGGTGGTGTTGGTCCAGGGGGTGCTGGAATAGGTAAGAAATTTCATTAAACTTAATGCTAAACTACATGTGGATATATTTAAAACCATAATCTAAATATATAAGATTTTTAAAAATTCGTGTTTCTTTGCTGCTTAAAGGTGTGGGTGGAAAGCCCCCCAAAACAGGTTAGCAACTTGTAAGATTTTCTGTTGGTCTTATTGGATAAAAAATAGAGTTGATCTTCACGAACAAATTTAAGGGACTTTTCTCACTATATAGGTGTTAGTACTGGAGGAATAGGACCTGGTGGTGTTGTTCCAGGTGGTATCAGACCAGGTGGCATTGTCCCAGGTGGTGTTGGGCCAGGAGGAATTGTTCCTGGTGGTGTTGGACCAGGAGGAATATTCCCTGGTGGCGTTGGACCAGGCGGAATCGTCCCTGGTGGTGTTGGACCAGGAGGCATTGTCCCCGGTGGTGTTGGACCAGGAGGCATTGTCCCCGGTGGTGTTGGACCTGGTGGCATTGTGCCAGGAGCAGGCAGAAAACCTGGAAAACCGGGTATGAGGATCACTAAAAAAAGAAAGATTTTTATTTGTTCTTTTCATTGTGAACAACAAAATATTGCTTCTCAATTACTATGATGACTAAAGTCAAAATATATTCAATACTAAATAAGTAACTTTTACATTTGCATGACATGCATTTGCCTCTAATGGTTCAAATTTAGGTTATGTTGGGCCTGGGGGTGGTGCTGGGCCATTTGGAACAGGAACTCTAGGAGCAGGAGATCCCAGGTTTGGTGCTATTCCACTTACACCAGGAGGTACTGGAACAGGCTACCCATCAGGTGGTAGGGATGCATTTACTTTGCTCCAATATTAAAGATATAAAACAATTAACATTTTACTAGTGTTGTGAAACTTTAAAACTAATTGTTTCCATTTTTTCAATCTTTTTTTAAGTTTAATTTTTTAACCTCACCATTGACAAAAAATTTACATTGGATTGAAAACATGATTTGTCTTAACAACAGTTAAATAAAGAAGAAATGGAATTTGTTTTTAGGTGGCTATGGTGGATATGGTGGGCCAGGAGGTATTTATCCTGGAGCAGCAGGCCAGAAACCACCAAAACCAGGTAAAATTAGATCTGTAGGTGTGAGTTTTGGCTTACATAAATGTTTTATGTTCTGTTACTTCTGGTATGACTAAATCTTTTGGTATTTAAACTGTACCCACAAATTTGATTCTTGTAAAATAGGAATTGGACCTGGTGGTACAGGAACTGGTCTAGGTGGTGCTGGATTTGGACTTGGGGGTGCTGGAGTTCGCCCTGGAGGTGTAGGGATTGGACCAGGTGGCACAGGAATTGGATCAGGGGGAACAGGACTAGGTCCAGGTGGAACTGGAGTTGGGACTGGAGGTGTGGGAATTGGACCTGGTGGCACTGGAACTGGAGGAGTAGGAATTGCACCTGGTGGATGTAGGTTTTTCAAAGTCATTATTGCTAAGCGACTGTTTTATTTGTTAATTATCATGATAAATAGCTTGTAACATTTTAATCTATTATGGCTCCTAGCGTCTTTTCTCCCACAAACCGGACTACCAGGAATTGGGCCAGGCACTGGAGGTAAAGTTGGAAAGCCTGGGAAGGCACCAGTACCAGGTAATATCATTCTTCTAATGTAGCACATTTTTGATGGAGTAGTTTTGACAAACTTTTGATGTGAAATCCCTTTTCTGTTTATTCAAACAAACAAGGTGTTGGGATTCCTGGCCTATACCAAGGGGGTATTGTTCCTGGACAGGGTGAGTGACAGTAATATTTGACAGTTTTAAAAGCATCTTTACAAACGCAACAAGTCTACAATTCAGTTTTTATATGTAGGCTTTGGTGGAAGAGGAGTTCTGCCAGGTGTAGCCACAGGAACGCAAACTGGTGAGCTTTACAAATTTTATTATTTTGTTAATTATACCTTTATCTAGCAATTAAAAAACTTTAGAGCCTACGTCTCTTAATTTGCTGTTTATAGGGCAGCTTGGTCAAGGTGCACTTGGAGCCAATGGTAAATATAATTATTGAAAGAATAATTCTTGCAGTAAAAGATAAGAAATCTACTTTCAACAGAATTCAATTATCTTTTCTTATTTTGGAGGTCGTGGAGGTTTTGGTCAACAAATACCTGGCGTGTTTGGTGGATATCCTCTTATATCACCAAAGTCTGGAGGTAGAGGCATTTTAAATTCCTTCCCTTTATTCACTGTACTTTTTCATTTTCGAGATCTACCATCATACATTATACTTGTCAGTCAATTTATTTTTTTTCATCAAGGTGCAGCAAAGTCTCAGGCTAAAGCTGCCAAGTATGGTAAGTCAAACAGGAACAAAATGTAAAAGTTTATTTGGAGCACATTTCTTGAGAACACGCTTGATACTTTTAACTTTCTTTTAGGGGCTGCTGGTGTTCCTGGTTTAGGTGGTGGGCTTGGTGTAGGAGGAGTACCTGGTGCCGGTGGTATAACAGGTACAAGTGGTGTGCCAGGATTAGGTGGTGTACCTGGTGCAGGCACTGTGCCAGGAATAGGCAGTGTTCCAGGTGCAGCTGGTATACCAGGTGTTGGAGGCATTCCTGGAGCTGGGGGAGCAACTCCTGGGGGCTTATATCCAGGAGCTGGTGGCATCTATCCTGGGGGTAAATTTATGATTTCCTTCAAAAATAAAATATATTTAGAGATTATCAAATCATGTAAGTGTGTAAGTGTTATAATGTCAATTAATTATCTCCCATTAGGAGCTGGGGCTAAGGCTCGGAAGTATGGTAAGAAAACCACCATATTCATGTTATCTACAAATCTACATGTTATCTGCCAGATCTGCCAGCTGGCTTCTGTCCATAATGGCCTCCCTACTGAAAAAAACAGCTTAAACCAGCCTAGGCTGGTTGGCTGGTTTTAGCTGGTCGACCAGGCTGGTTTTAGAGGGGTTTTGGCCACTTCCAGGCTGGTTTCCAGCCATTTCCAGCCTGGTCTTAGCTGGTCAGGCTGGGAGATGACCAGCTAAAATCAGCTTGACCAGCCTAGCCAGGCTGAGAGCCCAGCCAAAACCAGCTATGTCCAGCTTAAACCAGGCTGGTCAAGCTGGTTTTAGCTGGATTAAGCTGGTCATTTTCCAGCCTGACCAGCTAAAACCAGGCTGGAAATGGCTGGAAACCAGCCTGGAAATGGCCAAAACCCCTCTAAAACCAGCCTGGTCGACCAGCTAAAACCAGCCAACCAGCCTAGGCTGGTTTAAGCTGGATTTTTCAGCAGGGCTCCAAACCATTCCATGGAATTTAATTTTAACTTTCATGGAAATTATATTAAAAAAAAAAAAAAAAAACACTTGCAAAGAAGAGAAATCTAAGAATTAAACCTTAACCCTTGACTTTTTGAACAGCAATTTTTACAAAGTAACCATGAAAAATGAAGAGTTTATTTTGCTGGTTTGGAAGTTTATGTTGCAAATACTCTCTGTAAGCATAAAAACAGAGGACCAGCTAGGATCAGCTCAATTTTGATATGTAATATGTCATTTTATTCTCTTTTTGTTTTATTTCAGCCTCAGGGGTAGGAACTGGTGGACTTCCTGGTTCTGGTGTGGGACTAGGAGGTCTTGGAACTGGAGGACTTCCTGGTTCTGGTGTGGGAGTAGGAGGTCTTGGAACTGGAGGACTTCCTGGTTCTGGTGTGGGAGTAGGAGGTCTTGGAACTGGGGGACTTCCTGGTTCTGGTGTGGGAGTAGGAGGTCTTGGAACTGGAGGACTTCCTGGTTCTGGTTTGGGAGGGGGTGGTCTTGGAGCTGGTGGACTTCCTGGTTCTGGTGTGGGAGGGGGTGGTCTTGGAGCTGGAGGACTTCCTGGATCTGGAATTAGTCCCGAAGGTAACTTGAAATAAGTCATAATTGTTTGTAAGTTTGTTCTACTATTATCATTCAGAATAAAGTGATGACAACTATTCTGCCATATTTTAGGATATGCTGCCGCTAAAGCAAGAAAATATGGTAAGACTTTACTGTATGCGTCTTAAACATTGACTTCATTAAAGACAAATATTTTTACATTTTTCAATTCATTTGTCATTAAGATATGTTTGAACAAAATTTTAGACTTTATTTCCTTGTTTAGCCTCTTAAAATCAAAGCTAAATGAGAAAATAGAATTAATGGAATAGAATTATTCGGCCAATGATTTCATGCTTTTATATTTTTATATGTAATTTGTAAGAATCTACGACAGACGAAGAAACCATAAGACAATAAAGGCATGAATATTCACTGTTAATTCCTTTGCAGCTCAGCTTGGGCGTGGTGGGACTTTAGGTACTGGAGGATTACCAGGTGGAGCAGCTGGTGTTGGACTTCCTGGTGGGGGTCTTGGGGCTGGTGGGCAACTTGGAACTGGTGGACTTGGAACTTATGGTCTACCTGGGGGTGGGCTCGGTGGATTACCTGGTGGAGGCGCCGGTGGCCTTCCTGTTGGTGGAATTGGTGGACTCCCTGGTTCTGGAACTGGTACAAAACTATGCAACCATGTATATATTAACTTTTATGACGTTTGAAACGTTTTGGTAGTCATATTTGACATTATATACTCTGATTATTTCCAGGGTATGCAGACGCAAAGGCTCGAAAATATGGTAAACCAACTTTGAATTGAATTAAACATACTTTATGGTAAAAAAATATGATGGTTTCATTGTTGCTCCAAACTGTTTTGTAATGTTTAAAAAAAAAATTTGCTTTATTGTTTGGCTTTAATAAAAAAAATCCAAGTTTAAAGGAAAAATGATTTTAAATCACGGTGTAATTATATCAATGCAATCTCCTCCCAAAACTCACGATTGTGTGATTTTACATTTTACATATGCTATTTGTGAGATTCAACCAGTCATAGAAACCATAAGAAAGCTAAGAGATGAATATTCGCTGATTATTCTATTGCAGCTCAGCTTGGACGTGGTGGGACTTTAGGAACTGGAGGATTACCAGGTGGAACAGCTGGTGTTGGACTTCCTGGTGGAGGTCTTGGGGCTGGTGGGCAACTTGGAGGTGGACTTGGAACTGGGGGTCTACCTGGAGGTGGACTTGGGACTGGTGGGCAACTTGGAGGTGGACTTGGAACTGGGGGTCTACCTAGAGGTGGACTTGGGACTGGTGGGCAACTTGGAGGTGGAATTGGAACTGGTGGACTAGGAACTGGAGGGCTGCCTACAGGTGGGCTTGGAGGATTACCTGGTGGAGGAGTTGGCGGGCTTCCTGGTGGTGGAATTGGAGGACTCCCTGGTTCTGGAATTGGTACTCGATTATACAACCACATTGCATTAAATAAATTTATTTTAAGGTTCCATGGTAATATTTTATATTATACAAATTATGAAGTATAGTACTTAATATAATATACTTTGATGCTTTGCAGGATATGCAGACGCAAAGGCTCGAAAATATGGTAAACCAACTTTGAATTGAATACAACATACTTTATGGTAAAAGAATAATGATGGTTTTGTTGATGCTTAAAACAGTTTTGTAATGTTAAAAATATATATTTTTTGCTTTATTGTTTGGCTTTAAAAAAATCTAAGTTAAAAGGGAAAATGATTTGAAATCACTGTGTAATTATATCAATGCAGTCTCCTCCCAAAACTCAAGATTGTATGATTTTACATCATATGCAATTTGTAAGATTCAACCAGTCATAGAAATCATAAGAAAGCTAAGAGATGAATATTCGCTGATAATTCTATTGCAGCTCAGCTTGGACGTGGTGGGACTTTAGGAAGCGGAGGATTACCAGGTGGAACAGCTGGTGTTGGACTTGGTGGACTACCTGGTGGAGGTCTTGGGACTGGTGGGCAACTTGGAGGTGGACTAGGAACTGGAGGGTTACCTGGAGGTGGGCTTGGTGGATTACCTGGTGGTGGAGCTGGTGGACTTCCTGGTGGGGGAGCTGGAGGACTCCCTGGTTCTGGAATTGGTACCAGATTATAGTGATTATAAGTTTATAAGATTATAAGTTTTGTGATCATATTGAATATAACATACTTTGTTGCTTTGCAGGATATGCAGAGGCAAAGGCTCGAAAATATGGTAAAACAAATTTGAATCAATTTTTAAACATGCTGTATGGTAAAGGAATTCTGATTATTTCATTATTGCTTAACATTAACTTCTAACAATGTTAAACCTAATTCTCTGATCTATTGTTTGACTTAATAAAAAGTTAAAAGAGAAAATTAAATGAAATCACTCTGTCATTATACCAATGCAATCTCCTTCCAAACATCAAGATTTTACATCTTTTTTTTATTTGTGAGACACAAGCACAGTCAGAGAAAGCTAAGTTAAGACATGAACATCCACTGATAATGCTATTGTAGCTCAGCTTGGACGTGGAGGGACCTTAGGTACCGGAGGATTACCAGGTGGAGCAGCTGGTGTTGGACTTGGTGGACTACCTGGTGGAGGTCTTGGGACTGGTGGACAACTTGGCGGTGGACTTGGAACTGGTGGACTAGGAACTGGACTTGGTGGATTACCTGGTGGAGGAGCTGGTGGACTTCCTAGTGGAGGAGTTGGAGGACTCCCAGGTTGTGGAACTGGTTGCGAATTATACAACCATATTGCATTAAGTAAATAGCAAAAACAATTGTGAAAATTGTAACATTTTCATGTCAAATACTGTGGTGTTTTGCAGGATATGCAGAGGCAAAAGCTCGAAAATATGGTAAAACATCCTTTAATACAATGATTATAATTTACCAGTACAACGTTATGGTTTAATGTATTATGATGGTTTTATTTGTGGATGACAACTTGAAAACCAAATTCTACTTTTCTAGGTCTACTTGGTAGAGGTACAGGTTTAGGTCCAGGCACTGGATTAGCTGCAGGTATTCCAGGTGGATTACCAAGCACCGGTATTGCACCAGGTGGGGCAGGAGGGTTACCAGGATCTGGAGTTGGACAAGGAGGCATCCCTGGTGTAGGTTATGGTTCAGGAGGGGCACCCAGTGGTGGCTTTGGACCAGGGAGTGTTCCTGGAGGTGGATATGGACCTGGAGGTAAATACGTATTTTTAATGATTTAAATTGTAAGTCTTAAATGTCCAGGGGCCTCATGTACGAAGACTTGCGTGGAAATCTTACTAAAGCCTTGCGTACGCACAAAGCTGTAAATGTGCGTACGCAGAAAAAAATTCAGATGTATGAAACATTGCGTACACCGAATCTCACGCATATTCTTTTGTACATCTGAATGAACGTGAAACTGAGCGCTACATGCACGAGCACAAAACCCCTCCCTGCCTCCTCCCCCTTATGAATATGCTAATGACTATACTTTGGCAAAACCCAACGAAAAAGCAATGGCAAAAGCAAGCAAGAAGAGAAACTTTAAACAGAATGTGAATTGGAGGTGCTGCTTTTGGAGGTAGACCGGAGAAAAGCGGTGTTATTTGCAAGTTTGTTCTCCGGAATTAACAACAAAAGAAAAAAAGGGAGTGGGAGAGTTTAGCTGATGCGGTTAGCACAGTTGGGTCTGAACATCGCACTGAGTCAATTAGAAAAGAAATAGTGTCATTTATAGGTATAAAATGTTGCAGTACCCTCAACAGTTTCATTGGAGTAGCTTGTAAGGCGTGGTCAACATGTTTTGACACGTTCGAACATGAACTCGGTTCGAATCCAGCGTCTGATGAACTCTTTCTTCTTTTTTCCCCCGCTACATATCAGATTTTGCCAACTATTTATCACGAGAAAGACAAATAGGAATCTTTAATAAGTTTGTGCATCATATTTTATTTGCACATTTATTAAATAGAAATGTTTCTGATTCACGTATGCAAATTCATCTTCAGATAGTGTCTTTATAGCAATGTGCGTGCAGTAGATAGCTCAGAATCAGATAACATTGGGAAAAAAGGCGACCGCTACAAATTGTGCTTTAATGTTTGGCTGGTCAACTGTATGGTATGGAAATCTTATATACCTGCTAGATGAACCCGTCTCATACAGCTGCCATTGCAAGGCTCAGACACTTTGTAGAGAGGAATTTAACACAACTGCCTCTAGGAGTCGCCAATGGAAATAAAACAGACACACACAAAAAATGTGCGTACGCCTGCCATAAAGCTGGCGTGGAGCTGCGCACATTTCCACGTTCAGTTCATTGTTAGTGGATCCAAACGTGAGCGATTCTGAGCGTGAAACCTGGCGTACGCAAAGTTTTTGTGCGTACGCAGCGTTGATACATGATGCCCCAGGTGGCTAAGTGCATAGCACTGTTGCCTCACAGCAAGAAGGTTGCTGGATAATCACTGGTTGAGTCACCGTGCTCCAGGCTGCATTTCTGAGTGGAGTTTGCACCTTCTTGGAGTTTGCATGGTTTGCACCTCCAAGTGCTCCAGTTTCCTCCACTAGGTTTGAGTAAACTAAAATTGGCTGTAGTGTATGAGTGTGTGTGAATGAGAGTGTATGGGTGTTTCCCAGTGCTGGGTTGTGGCTGGAAGGGCATACTCTTCATTAAACACATGCCAGAGTCTCTAAAAAATTAGGGACTAAGCCGAAGGATAGTGAGTGAATGAATCTTAAATGTCTTGAAACTCTTAGAAAGTGGAAATTACCGTGTTTCGAACATAAATGATCAAATTTAATGGTAGTTTTCTGCCTGATCATTAGCTTTTAAGTTTTTTTTTTTCACAATTGCTATAATATTAAACAAAATGTTGTGCATCAGTAGAAGTGCCCTATATCTTGACTTTTAACACAAAGTGTAAAATTCTTTAGTACAAGTTACTACATAGATAACTACAGTATGTACTGATGCCTATCCTCCCCTCACTAATGCTATCCACAGTAAAGGGGCAATAATGGATGTGGCATAACATTTAATGTTTGGTAACACTTTATAAAAACTACACACTATAAATCATTTATTAAGCATTAGTAAATAGTGAATTGATTATTTGTTAAGCATTAACTCTACATTGATAAGCGTTAGTAAGCAGTTTATAACTGCAGCTACAAATGCTCTATTCTTGACTTATAAGCACCTATATAATGTGTTAAATAATTGTATTTTCATACTTAGTTAATGATTTATTTTTCATTACTAAATTAAGTATTGCATTATTTACAAACCATTTGTAGTTTAGGGTTTTAGGATGATTCAGAATGAGTTAGTAAATTATTAATAAACTATTGAAATCAATGTTTATATATCTTATTATTCAGGCATATATTAATAGTTAACTAATATGTTAATAAATGCTTTATTAACTCAACTTCATGCAGTTTTGTGACCTAATCTAAAGTGAGGACTATTCATGCTTTATAAATCCCTTATAAATGACTATTAAAGGCTCAGAATCAAATGAACAAAACATCTTTGCAATCTTTTCTAAAAAGTACAATTTTGATAAAGTTTAAACGTTGCTGAATAACAGGAGTGTCAAAATACAACATCCAACAAAACAACAACAACAATATAATAATTTAACAATATAATAAGATGCAATGTTTAAACTCTACAGTGATTGTATTTTAGATTAGGTTGCAAAGATTTATTTTTTATTTGAAATGAATGAATAGGACATTATGAAGGACAAATAAATGAATAGGAATGAATAGTGTCATTTTTTTTGTTTAGAATTTAACTGAGCCTTTATTTGTCATTTATAAAGGATTTATAAAGCATAAATAGTCCTCACATTAGATTAGGTCACAAAACTAGATGAAGTTGAGTTAATAAAGCATTTATTAACATATTTAGTAAACATTAATATATGCCTGAATAATAAAACATATAACTGTTGATTTCAATAGTTTATTAATCATTTACTAACTCATTGTGAATGATCCTAAAAACCCTCAACTACTCTTAAATACAAATGGTTTGTAAATAATGCAATACTTCATTTAGTAATGAAAAATAAATCATTAACAAAGTATGAAAATACGATTATTAAACACATTTTAAATATGTTTGCAAGTCAAGAATACAGCATTTGTAGCTGCAGTTATAAACTGCTTACTAACGCTTATTAATGTAGAGTTAATGCTTAACAGATGATGAATTCACTAGATACTAATGCTTAATAAACGATTTATAGTGTGTAGTTATTATAAAGTGTTACCTAATGTTTGTATAGCTTACTATCTTTCTCAACAAAACTGCAAATTGAGTTTCTGGTCAACACTTTATAAAATCCTGCAAATAGTATGTCTTTATTTGTGCAGGAATTCAAAGACAGATAGCAACAAAGCATATTCTATCTGATGTCTCACAAACCACAGTAATGCAATGTTACAAGAAACTGATAGCTTCAACCTTTTCTTAAAGTTTAATTAAAACCTGGCAAATCTGGAAACCTAAGTAGCACATCCAGCCAGGTATAGCCCAAGATGACCTTTCTTTCTTTGGGTTTAGCCACAACATTCCAAAGCCATTGTAGTCTTATCAGTGTTCAGTTGATATCTGCATCTTTCAATCAGTGTATGTTTAATGTTGTTGAATCCCAAAGTTGTTTATCCACTGGATAGTGATGATCAGTTAGATTTTAATATTCAGCTCTTTTTTCTCTTAGCTTACCAATATGTCACAATGTCCTAGCCAAGTTTTTTCTAAAGTGACATCTTGAACTTGCTCTATCATCTTTCTTTTATTAGCTTGTAAACAGAGGTAAAGAACTGCATGTTCATGCTCAGATGAGGTGTGTTTTCATGGGAAGTCAGCGTAGTCTGCCCCAATTTAGAACTCTGCACATGGATGGCTATTAGACATCTTTTAACCCTTGGTAGGATCACTTATTGAAATTCTCATGAGAAAAAAAGGTGGAGTATTAGCAACTCAGGGTTATTATGAAACTTCTGAACTGTTATGACAAGAAAAAAGACATTGTAATCAATGCAGATCCAATAGAACAGTTGCCTTCAGAACTGCCTTAATCCATAGCTCATGGCATAGATTCAGCAAGGTACTGGAAATATTCCTCAGAGTTTGGTCCATACTGACATTGTAGCATCATGCAGTTGCTGCAGATTTGCCGGCTGCACATCCATGATGCGATTCTCCTGTTCCATCACATCCCAAAGGTGCTTGATTGGATTGAGTTTGGGTGATAGTGGAGGCCATTTGAGTAAAGTGAACTCATTGTCATATCCAAGAAATCAGGCTGAGATGATTTGCGCCTTATGACATGGTGCGTTATTCTGCTGGAAGTAGCCATCAAAAGATGGGTACACTGTAGTCATAAAGGGATGGACATAGTCAGCAACAACACTCAGGTAGGCTGTGGCATTGACAAAATGCGCAATTGGTACTAATTGGCCCAAAGTGTGCCAAGAAAATATTTAAAAAATGTAAAAATTGTAGCCTTAGTTTAATGTTCTTAGATGACAGGAGTGGCACCCGGTGTGGTCTTCTGCTGCTGTAGCCCATCCACCTCAAGGTTGGACATGTTGTGCATTCAGAGATGCTCTTCTGCATACCTCAATTATATTGAGTGGTTATTTGAGTAACTGTTGCCTTTCTATCACCTCGAACCAGTCTGGCCATTCTCCTTTGACCTCTGGCATCATCAAGGCATTAGCACAGAAATCACCTTTCTTCCCCATTCTGATGCTCAGTTTGAACTGCGGCAGATCGTCTTGACCAGGGGTCACCAATATGGTGCCCATGGGCACCAGGTAGCCCGCAAGGACCACATGTGTTGCCCGCAGGCCTTTTCTAAAAATAGCTCACCATAGCGCCACTTACCAGTAAGCTCCATCTAATATAAAAGTAATCATTTAAAAATGTTAATATTTGCAGAGATATATAAAAATAAAGTGTTGCACATTGATACATTAAATACAGGGTATTTCCTACCCTGTTAAATCATTGTTGAAATTTGTTATTTGAGAAATGTTTATCAAACTGGTAGCCCTCCACATTGATCGATACCCAAGAAGTAGCTCTCAGTTTCATAAAGGTTGGTGACCCCTGGTCTTGACCATGTCTACATGCCTAAATGCATTGAGTTGCTGTCAAGTAATTGCCTGATGTGATTAGCAGAAATGTCCATTAACAAGCAGATGGATAGGTGTACCTTTTAAAATGTTCGGTGAGTGCATATTACCATCCTCTCCAATTAAGCAAAAAAAAAAAAAAAAAAACATGCTGGGAAGGGCCTGTTGATGCCCCGATTTTTAAACATCAAACAAGATTTTGAACATGCAATTAGCTTAGGGGTCTGGATGAAATCCAAATTGACAAAATCTGAAAATTTGCTTCCACTCCGAAATGTCTTTCTTTCTCTGATTACATCAGTCTGCGATCTTGGGCAGAATATCAACAGTCCCCTCCAACCAAGTGCAAGATAGTGAGGGGGAGCACCAAAATAAAACTCAGCCTTGTTTTAATTAGCAGATGCTTTTATCCAAAATGACCCAGACCTGCGAACTCACAAAGAGCAGTTTGCTCTCCATGGAGCAGAGCAGTTGTGACTTTAGTGCCTTGCTCAAGGGACTCACCTCAGCTGGGGTATTGAGCATGGATGAGACGGCTGGGGGCTTATCTATAAATGTGGCATTCACATTTACAAAAAAAAACATTCACAAAAAACACAGGTGGAAGCGTGTACACCACTTTTCATGCATAGGTTGTGATCATACAAAAACTTGATGTGTAGGTATATATATTTAACGTAAATATTGATTCAATTTAACATCTTTATATCATTCATTCATTCATTTTCTCGTCGGCTTGGTCCCTTTATTAATCCTGGGTCGCCACAGCGGAATGAACCGGCAATTTATCCAGCAAGTTTTTACGCAGCGGATGCCCTTCCAGCCGCAACCCATCTCTGGGAAACATCCACACACACTTTCACACACTACGGACAATTTAGCCTACCCAATTCACCTGTACCGCATGTCTTTGGACTGTGGGGGAAACCGGAGCACCCGGAGGAAACCCACGTGAAGGCAGGGAGAATATGGAAACTCCACACAGAAACGCCAACTGAGCCGAGGTTCGAACCAGCGACCCAGCAACCTTCTTGCTGTGAGGCGACAGCACTCCCTACTGTGCCACTGCTTCGCCTCTTTAAATCATTGTCCTAATCATTAATACATAAATGAAGAAAAACATTTTGGGACACTTTAACTTTTAGGAAGGTTTCTATGCAGATCTTTATAAATGAGACCCTGGTTATTCATTCTTCCACGTCACAATACTGAAGTCAATTGTAAAATCATATTTCTCTACTTTTATTCTAGGAATTTCCGCAGCCAAGGCTCGCAAATATGGTACGGGGAAATGAAACAATCTTGTTCTTTTTAGAATAGATGTTCAAACACACCATTTATAATTAACACATTATTTCTGCATTTCGCAAAAGGAATTATTGCTGGAGCTGGTGGAGTAGGATTGCCAGGGGGACAACTTGGTAGTGGAACAGTGCCAGGCGTTGGAGCTGGTGGTGGAACACCAGTTGCAGGTATTGGACCAGGGGGTGTACCAGTCGGTGGCTATAGACCAGGAGGAGTACCAGCAGGTGGTTATGGGCCAGGAGGAGTACCGGCAGGGGGTTATGGGCCAGGAGGAGTACCGGCAGGTGGTTATGGGCCAGGAGGAGTACCAGCAGGTGGTTATGGACCAGGAGGAGTACCTGCAGGTGGTTATGGACCAGGTGGAGTGCCCGCTGGAGGATTTGGTCAAGGATCTGGAGGTATGTTGACAAATATTATTTAACATTAATGCAATTTAGACATACTGTTCATTGCAACTTATACATTTATTCTTCACAAATATCTGTGGCTGCAGCCTATCCAGGTGGAGCAAAAGCCTTAAAATATGGTAGGACATTTTAAACTAGTTTTGACATTGTGTTTTGTTCTGCAGCTTTGAATCAAGATTAATTATTTTTTTTAAACATGTGTAGGTCCTGGTGGGAGTGGAGGGATTCCAGGACTTGGCCTGCAGGGGCAGGTGGGAACTGGTCCAGCAGGAGGACTTGGTACGGGAGCAGGACAAGTTGGTGGTTTTGGTCCAGGGACTTTAGGAGGTCCTGGGTCTGGATTTGCAGGATCAGGACTGCCTGGTAGTGCTGTAGGAGCAGGGAGTAGAGGAGGGCTTGGTCCTGGGTATGGAACAGGCGCTGGAGGTAATTTAAACATGGTGAATTGAGAAGTTTTCATGGTTATAGAACACGTGCAGTATTAATGCTGTAGTCTGATCAACTTATCTTTTTCAATTTCTTGCCTATAAGGATATGGACCTGGATCAAAAGCAGCTAAATATGGCAAGTTGAAAAACTGTACATACTGATATTTTGCGAGTAGCTTTTCACTATCCATTGATCTACTTTACAGTGTGGAGAGATAGAATTTATGTTTCTTTATTTAACCAGATAAAAACCCATTGAGATCAAGAATTCATTTACAAGGGTGACCTGGCCAAGAGGTCTGCAACACACGATTTATATAAAAAAATAAAAATGTAATAATATTATTAATACATAGAAAATTAATATAATATAAAAATACAGTTCAGTTTTCCAGCTTTACCACATTTCGATAAATTAAAAACACATACATTGAGAAATGGACTGTTGTTGTTTGTTAAAAAGGATAGAGCAAAACGATGTCATTGGGATGAGCTCAGATATCTTTAGTTCAGACTGAAGAGTATTCCAGGATGAGGGGGCGGCATGACAAAAGGCTCGCTTCCCTATTTCAGTTCGAACCCGGGGAACAGTCAAATGATAAGATTCACTTGAGCGTAGGGCATACTGGCTTTTAGACTTCTGGAGAAGGGAACATAGGTAGGAAGGCACCAGTCCCAGAACAGCCTTGTAGACCAGAGTCATCTCTTACATACAGAGAAGGCCACTCAGCTTTGGCATACAATTCACAATGGTGAGTATGTCTTTGACAGCCTGTAACAAACCTTAGAGCACTGTGATAGACGGAGTTTATAGGCTGATAACATTTGTTTGAAGCATGCATATATAAAACATCACCATAGTCAATCAATAGTAAAAATTTTGCAGACACCAAATGTTTACGAGCTTTAAGAGAAAAGCATTTCGATAGTAAAATCCGAGCTTAACTCTCAATTTTCTAACCAAATTTGCTATGTGTTCTTTGAAAGAAAGCTCCTGATCGAGTAGAAAGCCTAAATACTTAAAGATGGACACTAAATTTATTTGTTGACCTTGGGCAGTGGTAATCAATGGTTGGTTCTGCACAGGAGTGAAACAATTTGTGAAAATCATTAATTTAGATTTGTCTACATTTAAAACCAATTTAAGATCCTTAAGACGAGAACAATATTAAAAGCAGACTGTAAAAATTGAATGGCCTGAGAAAATGAAGGGGAGCAACAATAAATCACTGTATCATCAGCGTACAGATGATAAAAGGCATTTGGAAGGTTGTCGCACAAGTTATTAATATAGATAGAGAATAATATAGGCCCTAATACTATAATATAGGCCCTAATACAGGCCCTAGTACATTACTAAAATGGAATTAATCTTTTGCAAATATAACAGGTGATATAAAAAAATGTAAAGCACATGATACCAACTGAGATTTTTTTTAAAAAACAAATGTTTTAAAATGTCTACCTTGATATGTTACAACATTAACACTGTTAATGCCATGCTTGATTTGTCAGGTTTACCTGGGTTTGGAGGTGCCTTGGGAACAGGTGCTTTGCCAGGAGCTGGAACAGGAGCTGGAGGTATGTGAAGAAATGTGACATTTTTTTTCTGTTATTGACGAAAAAGAGAAAATTCTGTCATCCTTTAATTGTCATCCTCAGAACTACATTAATTTCTTTTTACTGTGGAACATTAAAAAAATAATGTCTGATGCTTTTGTTTGAATGTTGTTTTTTCTCAAACTGGGTTCCCAACATGTTCAAAAACCTTTGTTCAATCAATCAATCAATCAATCAATCAATCAATCAATCAAGCCTTTATTTGTCACTACGCTTTCGTATAGCTAAATTTGGCCCCCCAGACCAGTGGCGGACTGGGACTAAAAATCAGCCCTGGCACTGTAGCCACACCAGCCCACATTACCACACCGAAACAGCCCATGCAAGGACACGCAAAACCACTACTTATATTGGTGTACAGATGGTGAAATAATATACATTTAATACATGTCACTGCAACAAAAACAACCTATTTATAACAAATTTATCTATGCAATCATTTCCTTCATTCATTTTCTTTTCGGCTTAGTCCCTTTATTAATCAGGGATCGCCACAGAGGAAAAACCACCAACTTACCCAGCATATGTTTTACGCAGCAGATGCCCTCCAAGCTGCAACTCACTGTGAAACCCCTATACACACACATTCACATACATGCACTACGGACAATTAGGCCTACCCAATTCACAGCACATGTGAGGGAAGCCAGGCGGAAACCCACACGAACATGCAAACTCCAAACAGAAACATCAACTCATCCAGCCGAGGCTCGAAATAGCGACCTTCCTGCGCCCCTGCGCTACCCCCTTTCGAGACTATTTCAGTTAAATTTATGCATTTGGCAGCGTTTGATTTTAGAGACATTTTTTTTTTTTTTGCTTTCTGTGAGCTTTTCCGCACCGCCTTTCCTTTTTTATGGTCCATCTCTGACAATTAGCTTGTGTTGCACTTACTGTTTGTTTGACATTCTTGCCAGATTTTGATTACGTCCGCATAACCTCTAATTGGGTCGGCCCATCTTGAATCCAGTCGGTCATTGCTGATTGGGCCAATGCTTAACATTTATTATTATTGTTACTACTATAATCATCATCATCATAATACTCGCATCTTGCAAGAGATAAAAGCTGCCTGCATGTAAAAACAATACATATAAAAAATAAATTAAAAAAATAGCTGACCGGCCCACATTTAAAAAATGGTCCGGCCCCTCTGGCATTTGCCAGAATTGCCAGATGGCCAGTCCGCCCCTGCCCCAGACCATACACAAAACATCACAAACAACTTTTCAGGGGAGACAGATCATAGGAGGTAGCATTTAGAAACGAAGAAAGATACATTTGGACAGTTAGGCAAAAAAAAAACACCCCCTCAGCTTGCCCTTGATTAAGTGAGAAAAGGGAGAAAAACAGCCCTATCTTAGCATAAGCACACCGGCAAGTCACAACATAGACACAGGGGATGGGAACAGGGGTAATGGAAAACAGTCCGTTGAGTGCGGGCGGCCAACTGGTCCAGCAGCCATTTCAAGGCGCAAGTCACAGTCCCGCCCACGCCCCACGTGGGTAAAAGCACACGAAGGCGTTTGTTTTCATGGAAGAAAGAAATCTACAGTGTGGAGCATAGCTTTAAGACAAAGCAAAGCTAACATTAATTGACCTCAGAATTGGTGGATGAATCTAATCTCTTGTTATATTTCATTCCAAAGGGTATGGAGGAGCACAAAAACTACCTAAATATGGTATACCATTTATGGTTTCTTATCTTTATAATTAAGACATCATATGTAATCAGGCTAAGACTTCAACCCCTACATTTTTAACAGGACAGCCAGTTGGTGGAGTTGGAAGTGTGCCAAGTGGGTCAGTACCAGCAACTGGCGGAACTGGGGTCACTGGAACTGGAATTTCAACTGGTAGGTGATTACTAGTAAAAGATATGAATACTTATACAGTAGGTGTGAGTGAGTGCTACGGGGTAATAGTCATTCAGCCATATCAGTGAGGAGTGCTTTGGCACAATGTTTGTGGATTTAAAGCATGTTGGAAATGCTGCTTGATTAAGGGACAGGATAAAATGTCTCTGAAGACCTCTGTGAGCTTCTCAGCACATGCTCTTAGCACGTATCAAGAGGCCAGCAGCTTTGCATGCATTGATCCGTCTTAGTACAGTTTAGATATCTATGAAGGGAAGTATGAGTTGCTGATATTCAGCTGAGTGTGTGATCATTTGGTGGCCAGCTCCTTGTTGTCTCTTTTGTCTCATTGCCTGACTTGTAATAACTCGTGGCTTGAATACCCTTGCATCAGGGGTCAGAGTTGGGAAGTGTTCCTCTACCTTTAGGTTGTAGCAGTGCTTGCTTTGTTTGATGCCCCTTCCTTTTCAGGTTAGGCCTGGATTTGCTGTAGGCCTCCGCATCACTTGATCTAAAAGCAGTGTTCAGCAGCAGCCTCACATCCTTACATGTATATAGTGTAGCATGCTAGAAAAGGTTTAAGACAGTTCCTGTGTTTTATTTTGGGGTGTATTTGTATTTGTAATGGGCGAAGCAGTGGTGCAGTAGGTAGTGTTGTCGCCTCACAGCAAGAAGGTCGCTGGGTCGCTGATTCGATCCTCGGCTCAGTTGGCGTTTCTGTGTGGAGTTTGCATGTTCTCCCAGCGTTCGCTTGGGTTTTCTCCAGGTGCTCCGGTTTCCCCCACAGTCCAAAGAAATGGGGTACAGGCGAATTGGGTAGGCTAAATTGTCCGTAGTGTGTGAATGTTTGTGTGGAAGGGCATCCGCCGCGTAAAAACTTGCTGGATAAGTTGGCGGTTCATTCCGCTGTGGCGACCCCATATTAATAAAGGGACTGAATGAATGAATGTATTTGTAATGTGGGGGGTTAAGGGGCTAGATTTTGGGGAAAAGCGAGTCTGTGCCCTCGAGAGGGAGGGGGGTTTCCCATTGGAGGATACAGGTGTGTTTTTTTGTGTGAGAGAGTTGCTGCTTTCCAGTAAGCACATTGATTACTCTGTCTGCAATGTGCAAAAGTTCATTAAAAGATGAGTTTGAACTGTTAAACGCTTCCTGGCCTTCTTTAGTCTGTTACACTAGTATCAGAAGCGAAATTATGATTTGAAAAGGAAAGGGTGACACTTTGCAGTGGGGGAGAGGGTGTGGGTGCACAGCACGCAAAGAAAGAAGGGCAGGTGCCCTAAACTTGATGCACAGTGGGTGGGGCCTTGCATTGTACTGGAGAGAATTGGGGAAGCTGTTTACCATGTTAAGTTGCCACCAAGAGGCAGGAAAGTGGCAGCGCACAGGGATAGACTGGCTCCATACAGAAAGGATGCCTCAGCAATTTGGCGTATTATTTCTTAAAACAAGACAATATGTGTTGCTTGTCTAGAATATTCTTCTTGATTTAAGAATTTCTAGATATTTAAACTAGAAACAAAACATCTAAGTAGGAAAACATTTTTTGCAGTGTAAAATGTGCTTATGTGCTCAACATTACATCTCAAGAGGTGCAAATGGAGCTAAATGTATACCAGATTCAGGAAACAAAGCAAGGCGAATGTACTGTAAGTTAGTAATCATTGGCTCAATAATTTCTATAAAACAGAATTACTATTCCAATCTTCATTTGAATCATAGGAGGAACAGCAATTCCACTTGCTACCGGAACAGATCGTGGAGGTCTTAGACCTGGAGGTAACTAATTCATGTATTTCATTTATTATGTTAAGAAATATATGTAATATGCATAATAGTGTCATAACTACACGACTTTCTGGTTCCCTGTTTAGTGATTGGCAGCCCTGATGGCGGAACCCGTGGTACTGGAGAAGCTCAAGGTTATTACTTCTACTCTATTACAGTACATAACATACACTGGAAACACTTTAGAATAGTTCAATTCATACTATTAACTACTGGCTTGGCCTATTATTAAGATATTAACTGTTTATTAGTACAACAATACCCAATACCTAATAATATAACCCAATACCTAACCACAACTACTACCTTGCTAACTTTCAATTAGCAGCTTAGTAGATTATTGAAATAATAGTCTTAATTAATGGTTTGTTAATAGCATGAATTGAAATTTATTTTATTATTTATTTGTTAGTTTGTTTGTTCCTGAATTTTAATTGAATTTCATCATTTTCTTGAACGCGCAGGTGGAACGAAAGCACCTAAAACTGGTGAGAAAATATTTCATTTTTTTCTGTCTCTTACATCTTGGATAATCAATCGTTTACAAGAACAAATGAGCAGGCTATTCCTGTTAGCCATCAGTGTTATTTTATGGTTATTTCAGAATCTGGAGGACCAGTAGAGGGATCAGGTGGGTCCATTGTATTTAATGAACAATGGAACCTCTTAATGCCCTTAAGTTGAAACTCACAAATGACAGAAGCTGAACGATGTGTCATTTTTTAAGGTGTTACTGGTGGGCCCATCGATACAGATGGTCTTTATGGAGTTGCCGGGACTGGAATACCCATTTTGGCTGGAGAAAGACCAGGTAGACATCTCGTGACTCTTAGCATTTTGTCATATTTAGTTAAAAATGAACATTTCAAATCATTGGATTAAAAATGTATATTTATATACGTCCATATTTACCCAAATTTTGACTGGGAAAAAAAGTGGACTTCTTTTAGAGCAGGGGTGTTCACACGCTGTCCTGGAGGGCCGGTGTCCTGCTGAGTTTAGCTCCAACTTGCTTCAACACACCTGCTGGGGAGTTTCTAGTATATCTAGTAAGAGCTTGATTAGGTGGTTCAGGTGTGTTTGATTAGGGTTGGAGCTACACTTACCAGGACACCGGGCCTCTGAGTGTGGACACCCCTGTTTTAGAGTGTACTTCTAGTCACTCTGTTTTCTCCTTGTCTGCAGTTCAAGTTTACTTAGAATCTATTAAAGTCTGTAAACATTACATCTTGATGTTAAAAAGTTTACTTGAGAGTTTAAAAGCGATAATAATTGTTCATATTCATGCAACCGCTCTCTGGCTAACTGCAAAACTTTTTGAATGACTGGTTGATAACAGTGCTTTGTAATTTCATCAAATTTACTGATTTTAGCATGCTTTTTAGCCACTGTTTATCAATTTACTTAAACCACTTACTGTTAAAGTCAATCTTGGGCTCACATACTTATGCACCACGTTTATGCTGTTTTGTCAGAAAAGTGTTTTTTTTTCTTCAATTGGATTCAGCTTTTTTTTTTTTCATTTTAATTTTTAACAAACTGTAATAGCAAACAAGCTATTCTTATTCATTGGACAGCTTCTTCAACATGAGGCAAACAGTAATATACCTTTAGGGGAACAAAATGGAAATTACAAGAGTTTTAATGGTTATATATGGTCTTATTTTAAATTGTGATAATTACTGTGGATACAACTGGTTTCTATGTAATCTATGAGCAGGTTCAGGTCCAATCCCAATTCTACCCCTTAGACTTTCCCCAAGAGGTAAGAAAATTTCCCAGAAAACACCAGCCACAACGGCAGCATAGCTCAACCCGGAAGTAAGGAGTTCCACAAACTGGTATTTTTTTGTCATTATAATGAATTTTTACAACAAACAAGCACATGTTTTAATGTATTAATAACCGCGTTTATGTTTTTCATTATCGATAATCAATAATAATAACTCCTGTATAGCAGTCCCACAACATTCTGACACTCGATGACACTCGAATACCTGGTCAGAAAAGTCTAGTGTCTAGGAATGAGCTTTTTACAGTGTCTTCTATGATGTTATGTTGTTTTTTGTGCGTTTACATAAATGAATATGGCCACTGTGTAAATGTACTGTTTATTTACAATCTTCATTGCCACATTATATCGTTATGATAACATAATATATCCCTTCAGTGATTTCCTGAAGATAAATACCAAAAAATAACACAACTGGTGCAGGTGTTGTAGTGGTGTCCCAAATCTTAGGGGTAAATTTTGAAGCCCTTCCCCTTCAAACTCGGTTTTAAGGGGTACAAAAATAGAATTGGTATTGGGTCTAAATTTAAGTGGAATATGTCCCCTGGTCTGGTAAAGAATGACAACAGTTTTGGTGTTAAGGCCTATTAAGTAAAACACATTGTATATCTGTGATGTTTCCAGATTAGTAATATTATTTCAGCAAGGATCACAAATGAAGCAAAATAAACATTAATCTATATTAAATTGCACAGTAAGCTACATTGAACACAAAGCTGCAGTCATGGTTGTGCATGTCTGAAGGATTCCAGGATTCTCTTTAGTATTTAGATGTACTATTGATCAGGATTTTTTAAGTGATATAAATGACATGATTCTGTCTTTTCAGGTGGAACGGGAGTACCACGACCAGAAAGTAAGTTTGACATTACCTTTACAGATCTTACCTCATTATGAGCTTAAAAACTTGTCCTCAGCATTTCAGCTGAGCGGGAAACAGTTTCTCTTTTGCTTACAGCTTCCTTAAGCGGTAGATGAGTATGTTACATATAGAACTACCAGCCTACTGATCTCTCTTAATTTGTTGGACTTGTAAATATAATTAAGATTTTTATATTAACTTACAGACCTCAGTGACCTCAAAGTATCCTCATCAGCTTTTTAGCCAAATAAGAAACTGTTTCTATGTTTCTATCATTGGTTTCTATACAGTCGTAGCCCCCTCTAGTGGTAAATGATCTTGCATACAGAGAGCTTAAAATCTTTTCATTTGATGTGCTTGTGAATATATATATATATATATATATATATATATATATATATATATATATATATATATATATATATATATATATATATATTTATATATATATTTGGTATTAAAATTCAGATGCTTAACCTGCATGAATAGGATAGTCGGAAATTCAACTTCAGATTTTTAGCTTTGATTTCAATTATTAGGATAAGCTCTGTTTAACATTTCTTGAAGAGCCTTTTACATTTGGAGTTATATGTGTGCCAAAGTGAGTCCATGTTTTTCCACTTTTAGTCGGAGATAGTGGAACATTACCAGGAGCCAAACCACTTAAACCCCCAGGTACTTCATGCCAGTCACTTTACACTCAGACATTTTAGTCCAGTGGGTGTTTATTTTTTTTTCATTTGTAGGAAATTTTATTTTATTTATTTTATTCTAGGCACTGGGGGTGGAGCAATTGCTGGACGCGGAGATACCCCGGGCACTATTGAAGGAGGACCTGGAAGTATAGGCAGCGGAATTGGTGGGGTTGGTGGAGGTCCAGGTGGAGTTGGTGCTACACCAGGTGGAGTTGGTGGAGTTCCAGGGGGTGTTGGTGGAGTTCCCGGTGGAGTTGGTGGAGTACCAGGTGGAGTTGGTGGAGTTCCTGGTGGAGTTGGCGGAGTGCCAGGTGGAGTTGGTGGAGTTCCTGGTGGAGTTGGTGGAGTCCCTGGTGGAGTTGGTGGAGTCCCAGGTGGAGTTGGTGGAGTTCCTGGTGGAGTTGGTGGAGTCCCAGGTGGAGTTGGTGGAGTTCCTGGTGGAGTTGGCGGAGTTCCTGGGGGAGTTGGTGGAGTTCCTGGTGGAGTTGGCGGAGTTCCTGGTGGAGTTGGCGGAGTTCCTGGTGGAGTTGGCGGAGTTCCTGGTGGAGTTGGTGGAGTTCCTGGTGGAGTTGGTAGTGGACTCACAGGAACTGGAGGAGTTAAACCTCCAAAAGGTACATTGCAAAAAAATGTTTTCTTGCTTAAACTTTTTTTTTTGTCTTTTTTGTAGTCCAAATATCAGAAAATTCTAAAACATATTGCCTTGTTTTCAAAATAATATGCCAAAATAAAATATTTCCTCAAAACAATCAAAATAATCTGTCAATGGGATAAGTAAAATAATCTTATGTCAAAAGGAAAAAAATATTATTTTTCTTACCCCATTGGCAGACTACTTTGATTGTTTTAAGGAAAAACTAACTTCAATTTGGCGTATTACTTCTGAAAACATCTAATTCATAAAAATCTATGTGTTCTGTGTAGTTTATGGAGGTGCAGGAGGAACTGGAGCTCTTGGAGTTGGAGGTGTTGGTGGACTGGGTCCAGCTGGAGGGGGAGGAGCTGGACTTCTGCCAGGAGGTGGTGGTCTGCTTCCAGGAGGTGGAGCTGCAGGCACAGGATTTGGACTGCAGAAACCAGGAAAAAGTACTCAAGCATTGATCAGATTCACACTTTGTACTGTGACAACTAAATGTATTTTATTTTAGCCGAATGTGTAAAGATATCAAGAAATGCCTGCGAAAAATGATCATGTATTACACAAAGCTTATTTACTGGTCTTCAGTTATTAGCTTCACATCTGAAACAGAGTGTAATTAGCTTGTTAAATTTATTGCAGGTTATGGTGGAGCTGGAAGCTTAGGAGCTGGTGGGATCCTACCTGGAACTGGTAAATCTAAAAAGCTATCAAATTTGTGATTTTTAGTGGTGTAAAGTAACAAATTACAAATACTCAAACTACGAGATGTTTTTCCTCAGGAATTGTAATTTACCAAGTAGTTTAAAAATGTGTACTTTTACTTTCCCTTGAGTACATTTTTAATGCTGTATCAGTACTTTTATTCTATTACTTTCCTTCAACCTGCAGTCACTACTTTATTTTTTCTTGTCTATGGGGATTAGAAAACGTCCAATCAAAAATCAAACAAATATCAACGTCTAATGATGACACAGCTTGACGTTGTGTGGACGTTACCACTATGACGTCTATCAAATGTTGGATTTTGGTTGCTCGTACCTGCTGAATAAATGTCAGTATTTGACGCCAATATGACGTTGGTTTAAGACGTTGACTCGACGTTGGTTTTTGATCACTTTCTAACACTAGCTAAAATCAGCCAAATGTCAACGTCATTTGACATCGTTATTGGATATCAAAATAACGTTGGCTTTAGGCCCCGTTTACACTAGTGCGTTTTAGTTTGAAAATGTCATTTTAGATCAAAAACGATCCGCGTCCACACTAGTGTTTCACCTAGCGTTTCTGAACATATGTCCGTCCACACTATACCACCAAAAACGTTTATCACGTGAACATTCGCGCACTCAGGGCATGCACGTTCTAGCGTATATATGCCGCTTCTGTAGTAAAAAAGGCAGAGTTTAACTGCACAATGGCCCCTAAAACGGACAATAGTGCAAAAAAAGCTCCCATTTCTGTGTCCAGGTTGTTGTTTACAGTGAAGGCTGGTCTGTTGTCTTCTGGTAGCGTTAAAGCCATGTGTTATAGTCATGTGATAGGGGCTTGACGAATGAGGGAAGGACACGCAATGACACAAATCAGATAGCGAATCTCGGCAGCTCCGCCTCCATTTCCAGATATCTCCGTTTTCCCCATCCACACTGAGACGGAGCAGCAGGGTTTTAGAATGGAAACGGCCTCTCCAGCGTTTCCAAAATGCTCCGTTTTCTGCGTTTGAAAACTCTGGCGTAGTGTGGACGGATGACGTAACCGTAGCAAAACTTATGCGTTTTCAAACTAAAACGCACTAGTGTAAACGGGGCCTTAAACGCTGGCTAGACATTGAATTTTGGTCATTTGGCAACTTAATATTAACATCTTAAGACTTTGTGTGCCTGCCGAGCAATAACTAAATGGACTACAGAATTTTACGTTTACACACATTCACAAATTAGATGTAAATGAATCAGCTTTTTACAGTGTAATACTCAATACTCACTACTCTTGAGTACTTTTGAAAGGGCTACTTTTTACTCATACTTTGAGTTATATTCACAACACTTTTAGTCTACTTGAACTACATTTTCAGACAAGTAATGGTACCTTTACTTAAGTATGATTTTTCAGTACTCTTTCCACCACTGATGATTTTTCTAATCACCAGTTAACAATTAGATTATAGTTTAGTTAATTTGTTTACAGGGTCAGTGCACATTAATACAAAAATACTGTAAAATGTGCCAGAATTTGCCAAGAATGGCTATTTTTCATCTGCAGACCCCTTACGGAATGTTAAAAAGTCACACCTAAAAGAGAAGCACAGCATAAGAACATAGAATACTCTATCATATATATAAAATACAATAAAATGTCAATGTCAATTTTATTTATATGGCACTATTTAACACAACCAGAGGTTGACCAATGTGCTACACAGTACAAATCAAAACAGATAAATAAATTTAAAACATTTTCAAAATTATTGCTATAAACAACAACTTTCACTGACAAAATGCCAAATCAAAGAGGTAAATTTTCAACCTAGATTTAAAAACAGACAGGGATGAAACAGATCTAATACAGAGGGGCAGAGCATTTCACAACCTAGGACCAGCTACTGCGAAAGCACGGTCACCTCTGCACTTCAGTCTCGACTTAGGGATGTATGACAGTCTCTGGTTAGATGACCAAAGAGACCGACCAGGCTGATGCTCAGTTCACATGTCTGACAGATAAGAAGGTGCACGGCCATTTAGAGATTTAAAAACCAAGACAAGCATTTTAAAAGTGACTTGATATTTCACAGGCAGCCAGTGCAGAGAGCGTACAACTGTTTTAATATGGTCATGTTTCTTGGTACCTGTTAAAAGCCTTGTAGTATCATTTTGAACTAATTGTAACCGGGATAAGGTTTTCTGACTAACCCCAAAGTATAAAACAAAGCAAAAAACAAAAACAGATTGATGGCAGCAGAAGAGGACAAAAAACTAAGACAAACAGTATAAGTAAGTGTCAAGAATACAGTACTAATGCTGACAATGCTGATTTGTCAATAATAAATTTTTAACATGAGACTGAAAAGTAAGCGATCTTCTAATTGTTGGAGGGATGGAGTTCTGTTCCCTAGCAGCTTTCACTGAAAATACTGACGGACTGAATTTACTTTTTTGAGAGGAATAATACAATCCCCTCTTTCACCACCTCTAGTAGATCGGTGAGCAGTTGTTCTGACTTTCACAAACTGATTTAATGGTGAAGTCGGGTAAAGTAAGGTCTTAAACATTAAACAAATATGTACATATTTAATCAATTCAAATATGCAGGTTGTATTTCTTTTATAATGAACAATGGTCAAATTGAACTGATTTCTTATCAAGGGTTTTTAAGGATTGTTTGTATAATAGTTCAAGTGGCTTGAAGGTATCCCTAGTAGCAAAGAATTCTGGCCCAGATTTGGCATAAAGCTGGCACAGCAGGCATTCATCCGGCACTGGCATACAGCATGAGGGCCAAACATGGCCCGGGTTTGGCAGAGGTGGCACCGTCTTTAAGGCGGCACACAAGATTTGGGCCAGATGAAAAACGTAGTATTTGGCCCAGATTTAAAAATTTGATAAGTGGGCCATTTGAGTTTGGCCAGTTTTGACCCACATAAAATCATTTCTGAGTAAAGAAAAAAAATTCTACCAATCAGGTCACTTTGAGAAAAAGCGTGCCCATAGTGTGCCTAAAGCGCATCACTCCATGGTTTTATCAATTTCATTGCAATCATGACACACCAACCTATCTGGCCCAGTTCAGGCCCAGTTATGAGTTATTAACTTGGCTGAGACTTAGCCCAGATATGGTCCATGTTTGGCCCTTGTCTGGAAGCCAGATTTGGTCCAGTCATGTACCGTAATTCACTGCAGCATGTGGGCCAAGCAAAACCTGATTGTGTGGGCCAGAGCTGGGCCAGAGAAATTTTGCTATGTGGGTAGTAATGCTAGCTTGGGACCAAGCGGTTAAACATTAAGTGATATGGGAAATGATTACGTAGGGATAATAGATTAGGGCAGCCTCACATAACATCTGATCACAAATAAATCTAAAATTTGTTCCGGTTACAAAACTTTTTAACCTGTGACTTAGATGATAGTTTTGAATCTATCAAAACACCAAGATGCTTGTACTCAGACACATCTGATACTATACTTAACCTATCATTTCTACGTGGATGGGGACAAATCACAAATTGTATCTGATTTTAAATATCTTGGGGTCCAAATTGACTCCAAATTAACATTTAAATCACAAATTAAAAAGGTATGTTACCGTGTTAAATTCAATATAACTAATTTCCGGTTCATAAGGTCACATCTATCATTGCAGGCAGCTAAAATATTCATGCATTCAATGATTTTATCACATTTAACCTACTGTCTAACAACCTGGTCACAAGCAAACAAAACAACACTAAAACCCATAGAGTCACTTTACAAACAGTCAATTAAAATACTGGATAAAAAGCCTCTAAGACATCATCATTGTAGCATTTTACAAAAACATAAACTGTTAAGCTGGGAAAATGTCATTAAGTACTCAAACATTTGCCTGTTGTATAAAATCATTCATGGTCTGTCATCCCCACCTCTCAGTCAGTTTGTAAACATCAGGAACACCACACACAGAGCAACACGAGGGGCAGCCCGAGGAGACTGTATTGTCCCACTCCGGAAAAGTACCTTTGGTCAGGGTGCCTTTTCAGTTACAGCTGCACAGGAGTGGAATTCTGTCCCTGGCAGCATCAAAGAGATAACCTCATTTAATATAATCAAAAAACATTTAAAAACCTGGTTTTGTTGTGCCCACCATCTTAATGATCTGTTGTTTAAATGTGTTTCAACTATTTTTTTATCTCTATTACAAATTGTTGGTGTTTTAGCTTAATTTGTAAATATTCTCTTTTAACATCTATATGACCATGTCTATTTTAGTACTTTTTAAGTATGTTTGATAGATTGTATAATTTTTGTATTGTTTTTTCTAGGTTGTTAAGGGACAACACCCACATAGCAAAATTTCTCTGGCCCAGCTCTGGCCCACACAATCAGGTTTTGCTTGGCCCACATGCCGCAGTGAATTACGGTAAATGACTGGACCAAATCTGGCTTCCAGACAAGGGCCAAACACGGACCATATCTGGGCCAAGTCTCAGCCAAGTTAATAACTCATAATTGGGCCTGAACTGGGCCAGATAGGTTGGTGTGTCATGATTGCAATGAAATTGATAAACTCATGGAGTGATGCGCTTTAGGCACACTATGGGCACGCTTTTTCTCAAAGTGACCTAATTGGTAGAATTTTTTTTCTTTACTCAAAAATGATTTTAGTGTATTTTAAATGTGGGTCAAGACTGGCCAAACTCAAATGGCCCAATTATCAAATTTTTAAATCTGGGCCAAATACTACGTTTTTCATCTGGCCCAAATCTTGTGTGCCGCCTTAAAGACGGTGCCACCTCTGCCAAACCCGGGCCATGTTTGGCCCACATGCTGTATGCCAGTGCCGGATGAATGCCTGCTGTGCCAGCTTTATGCCAAATCTGGGCCAGAATTCTTTGCTACTAGGGCAGATGAAAAATAGCCTTCGGGCTAATTCTGGTGCATTGGCAGAAATGCTAATTTTTGTACACTGTCCCTGCCAAATAAACAAATAAATACAATAAATTTTTAGAAAAGAACACACACACTGTTTTAGAGATGTAAACAGCAATTCTGCTCATGTTGTGCTAAGACAGATGTCTTTAATTTTTGCTAGGCATCAGATTCCCCAGTGGGGCTGCAGTGGGCAGCAAACCAGGAAAAGGTATCGGAAAACATTCTTGTCATTCCACAATCCCTGTATGTCTTATGTATTTTATACGCTTGGTAAGACTTCTGAATTCCTCCTTTTCTACTTTGATCAAAGTTTATGGAGCAGGCACACTTGGTGGGCTTGGAGGCCCAGGTGGATATGGAGCAGGACCTGGCGGCTATGGAGGGGGTCCAGGTGGTTATGGAAGTGGTCCGGGCAGTGCTGGTGGACTCGGAGGGCCTGGATTTGGTGGTAATTTATCAAGACTAACTTGGCTGTTTTAAAAATATAGACCATTTCAATGTGGTCATGTCATTGGCCCGTGACCATTTCCTGGTTGTTTTCAAACAATTTCATAACTGTAACAAGAGACAATTCACTCATAACTTTGAGTTTAAACAGCTATCATAACATTATTTATCAATATGTGGCTCTTTTTGGATTTTCAGAAGCTATAGAAATTAAAAATATAGAACAGGAAATACGTACCATTGTTTTTGTTTGCATCCCTCAAAATGGTCTACAGTATTTTATATTTGCCTCACAGTTTTGGGTTAACATGGGTTAATGTGAAACACTGAAGTTTGTAAACTGAAAATATATGAATAAATAAGATCTTTACATTTGAATCTTTTTTAAGGCCTTGGTTATGGTCCTGGCGGAGTAAAACCACCTAAAAGTACGTAAAAATGCTTTAATAGTACAATAACTGTTCCTTTGTAGCTTCCAAGTTCACAATTACAAACCTTTTTGGTTTATCAGGCTATGGAGGAGCTGGAGCACTGGGTGGGGCTGGACAAGGAGGAATTGGTGGAGGTCCTGGACGTCTAGGTGTTGGACCAGGGGGTGCCGGTGGCATTGGGGGTGGTCTAGGTGTTGGACCTGGTGGTGTTGGTGGAGGTCCTGGAGGACTGGGTGGAGGTATCTTGTCATTTTTATGTAAAGCAGAATTTGTTAAAATTAGGTTGCATGTTACACAATCAAGTTTGTTTATGCTTTTTGGAATGTGTCGAAAGAAACAAATCTTAACAATTATAAACAAGCCATTAAAAAATGAGTGCTTTTTGTCTTATTTATTCTGCATGCTCTTACAAATTCAGATATGGTCTCAGTGTTGCCAACTATTTCCAATAAAAAGTAGCTAAAGCCTGCCTGAGAAGTAGCTAAATGTTGCCTATGACATCACACTAATTTGCATATCAGTGACGTCATTACGTAGTATCTGACAAGCTTAAGCCTGTCATGTCTTTACTCTCTGAGGCACCGTCTATTACATTATATTAAAACATTACATCCAGATGCACAATATTTAAGTTCTTATTAACATATTACTTTGCGTGATGACGCGTATTCGTAACTTTCTTGGATAGAAAGTGCCCTTCCAAAATGATCAAAAGTGCACCCGCGACACAACCCCCTCCCAACTACACTGCTCTTCAGTACGCACACGACGACGACAACCCCTCCAACCCCCCCCATTCAAAAATTTTTTCCTGCATATGCCCTTTGGACAGTTTCTGCACGGGCCTGATTTCAAGAGTTCACATTTAGATATTGTTTGACAACTGTTAGCAGGTTTGACATGCTGTCCCGGGAGAGAACCCTGAGCTCGGAGATAGTTGAGCCCAGGGCTTCCGCCAGGTCCATAGAGCAAGTGAGGGGAGTACGAAATCAGATGGTTCTCGAGAGCTCCCCTATGGTAAAGGAGGAAAGAAGGAGAAAGGGGTGGATGGGGGGTTTCTTTCGGAAAACGAAGATAAGGGAGTAAATCTACACTGAAAAAAGTGTTGCATGCAGAACTGTTGCAAACAATTTATTTGTGTTAAATTTAAACAAACGAATTAAATATAATAATGTAACTTAATTAGTTTGTTTAATTTCAGCCCAAATAAATTGTTTACAACCACTTAACGTAAAAAAATTGAGTAAATCCAAGGAATCATCTTTGAATAGTTTTTTTCAGTCTAGCTAGGCTACTTATAGTGAGTTAGGATTGATCTGATTGGCTAACAAATGGATGTAGATGGGTGGCCAGCTGTAGTCAATCATATCCCGTGCTCCTCTCGAAATTAGTTTGTAAAACTTCACTTAAAATGTACTTTCAGATTTTTAAAAAAAACATCATGACACTGAATCACTGTGGGCATCTGTGAGATTGATAATGATGAAGAAGTGGATGTCACTTCACACACTGTTTTTATTGTAGGGTTTGGAGGTTATGGGGGAGTTGGCGGAGGCCCAGGAGGAACCGGTGGAGGTAACAACATTCGTTTTTATGCAGCATTGTCAGATGAATTACATCATGCCAGGTGAAAATTAAGTTTTATTTTAATAATAACACGTCTGCCATCAGGTCTCAGGTACCCAGGGGGAGCAGGAGCAGGGAAACCTGGTAAAGCAGGTAAATTTACTTCACTTATTAGTGCATGATTTGTGTTCAATTGTTAATCATTCGAAGGGCCAGACAGAATCTGCGGACATTCTTTGCTATTTCTGCACATTTCTGAGTTTTTATGCAGAATGATTTTGGGAGTATCATAATTAAAACCTTGATATATGAAATAAAAAGTAATACCGTTTTAACTTGTATTTAATGTTTACAATGCAAATCCAAATAGATCCACTTTATTTGATAAACAAAGCAAGTCTATTATGTAATATCTTTACTAAAAGACAGAAAATATTGCTTTACAAACTACTGTAAATCAGTGCTTCACAAACTTTTTTCATCAAGTACCACCTCAGAAAAATTTGTCTCTCCAAGTACCACCATAATGACGAGGCAGATTAATTATTGGAGTTTGTGTTAACTGCACACAGAGACTAACTTTAATTATTCTATAGCTCCAAGCTTCAAGCGTGGCAAAGTTGCTTGAGTCTATTTGTGTCCCGCGACATTTGAATCACATCCAGATTAATTAGCCTAAATCTGAGGTAACAAATGAACCGAAAGTCACTTTTAGTTAACAAAACAAAATTTACAAAACAAAACCTTTACAAAACAAATAACATTTTGAAAACATGCATTGTTTACACAACTACGAACTCATTTTGACGCATTTGTAATAGCTATTCATGATGCAGCATGGGCAGATTCCTGAGTTGGTAACACTTTATAATAACTACACACTATAAATCATTTATTAAACATTAACAAATAGTTTATTAATCATTTACTAACTCATTTTGAATAATTCTAAAAACCCTCAACTACTCTTAAATACAAATGGTTTGTAAATAATGCAATACTTTGTAAGGTCCAGCCAGTTGGTCCAATGACGGTATCCACTGGTGGATGAAGGTTCACTGCATGTTCGGTCTTTCCATTTTTCATATCTGACTCCAATTTTAGTATGAGGTGGTTTAGAATATTAATATATTTATCCTCGTTTTATCTGACTCCAATTATAAAACATTAAGAAGATTATATCAATATGTAATTTAGATAAATGTTTTAACCGTTTGTCTTCACTAGTAACAATTACATCCGTTCATTCGGGTGCTCATGTCGTTTAGAGAAATCGCCTCGGCCGAAGGTGTCCCTCACGGTCACACTCCGGTCAGTCTTGAATATTAAACAGAGGTAAATTGACTAATACTTTAGATGGCCGCTACCAGCGCGCTCGTTCTAAAATACTTTAGTTAGTCCCGCTTAGATGTACACCTTTGAGTTAAGACAATCATCATTTCTAATTAGAGGTTAGGGCATTAATATAAATGTACCCGACTACTGGACTCTATAGTAACTTTGGTTTTCACCAAGCCCATGGTTTCCCATATGAACTTAATTTAGAATAATATTACCTTCAAACAAAGGTCGGGTACCCAATCTAGGTTAGTCGTGCAACACCTTGTTGACCTAGACGGAAGTTATCGCCCTTTCCACCTAAGTACACATGAATCAATATCAAGAGTCAGCCGGATCGCTAAAACACAATTAGTGTGCCCAATGCTCCATCTCAACTGGATTTTAGTCCGTCTACTGACCTGACGCAAGACGTGCGGAAACAAGGATACAGCGTAATCTACTTGAATTAATAATTACAGAGTGAGCAAAATATGTTCAAACATAACAATTTATTAGTCAGGTAAATGTATTATGCCAATTCAATCAGTCAATTCATAAATGATCAATACAAAACATCAAATTATCAAAGATAAATCCAAGATGAAAAAGATGCATTCCTGACTTTGTAATATACATAACATGGCGCAAGCCATGTTATGGGCTGATCTGGTTAGGCAGAATCGCCCTGAGTCTTTCTTAGGCCTTACCTTAAATAATACAAGAATTCCCTCAAGGAAGGGGGTGTGAATAACAAAAAAGGCATTCACACTTAGTGTCACACCCCTCACAGTGGTTCAAAAGATGCCTGAAGTTATATATTTATTGTTCTGATTATGTCTATTTCTGAGAGAATGAGACCATTGTACCAATCGCACTGAGACATTTCAAATGATATCAAACATGATGGTTAAAGTCAGTTTGGTTAATTCTAGAACATTCAAACACTGAAATGACCATATGTGTGAGTTGGGGGGATGAAGCTGAGTTTCAGCATACTCAGATGCAAATGCAGCAGGAACTGGTTTTTCACGCATTCCCCCCTGGTGGGTTGTGGAGTCTATTGGCCCTGTCTTCAGCTCATGTTTTGAATTGTCAAAGACATCAAAAATATTTGTAATATTTCAATTCTTACAACTTAATTTAGTAATGAAATATAAATCATTAACTAAGTATGAAAATACAATTGTTAAACACATTATATAGGTGCTTATAAGTCAAGAATACAGCATTTGTAGCTGCAGTTATAAACTGCTTACTAACGCTTATTAATGTAGAGTTGATGCTTAACAGATAATGAATTCACTAGATGCTAATGCTTAATAAATGACTCATAGTGTGTAGTTATTATAAAGTGTTACCCAAAAGCGCTTCTCTAGCGCGTATCTGCTCCGCAATCGCCGCTGCCGCACACCTTATTTTTAGCATCTGATGACGCGATGCACTAAAGTAAACATTCTAAGCACTGCACCGATGCTATCATACGCAATAGTGAACAACTGATGCTGATCACGTAATTGTAATTGTGTATTTTTTTCGCGTACCACTAGTAGGAAGCCCACGTACCACTAGTGGTAAACGTACCACAGTTTGAGAACCACTGCTGTAAATAAATCAAATCAATATTTTCACATTAGTCAATAATATTACTGAAATTAGTTTAAAAACTGAACAACTATAAATTTACACACATAAATAAACAGAATCAATGATGGGCTAAAAATCTGCTGAATTTTGCACATGCAAAATCTCACCAACAACTGACTAGGCACATACAGTATATCTGGTTGGTTGACATCAAAATGGATTGATTATATTTCCTTATGTTTGTTTAAATGTCTTAAAGGCTTTGGCACAGGGGCACTAGGAGGCCAAGGCTATCAGCCAGGTGAGCTATTATCCTCCATCAGTTCTCCTTGGAGCTACAAATTCAAGACATGCACTCACCCACATCTTCAATTGTCCTGTCAGTTGAATTGATGAAAGAGCAGATATCAAGATTTAGGGCCCTATCATACACCCGGCGCAGTGTGGCGCAAGGCACGGCGCAATAGACTTTTGCTAGTTTCAGCTTAGCGCAAGAGTCGTTTTGAGGCGTTGCGCTACGCTGTTTAAATAGCAAATGCATTAGCACTCATATGTGCACCCATAGGCGTTCTGGTATAAAAAGGAAGGCGTTCTGAGGCGGACCGCTGGCGCGTTGCTATTTTGAGAAACTATAATAGATTTTTCGTTAGACCAAAACAAACCCAGTCTAAACTCCGGCGCAGAGTTGCGCCTCGCTTACGCACTGCTTAATACGCACAAGAGAGCAATAGGCAAATATTTTTACATATGAAAAAATTAAATATTAAGGATATATATAGGATATAATAAGAATATAAATATAAAGGATTAAAATATTACAAAACATATTATTTTCTAGCCTACATAAATATGAAAAATCACTGCTTTTATGACTTCTTCATCTCGGGAGGCTTTTTCAGTTCATTCATAACAATTTGCTTTTGTATAATGTTATTATTATTAGCAGTATTATTTATTATATCCATATTTATATTTGTTTTATTAAAAACAAGCTTAGATTTGCCCACCTGTCAGGTTTTAGACCATATGGGGCACAGCATGTGTTTGAGGATATAACTCAGGTTTTTGAGCACATTTTGTTATTATTGTTCATTTATTCGTTTGCTGGAAATTAGAACTGAATTTAGAAATAGTTTTGAAACGAATATTTGCGCTTAACAAATGCAATTAATTATTTATAGGCTAATTGATGTCTGTGCGTAAAGGTTTCCCTATCCAAGAGCGAATGTGAAAGTAGATCCATTATCTCTCATTCTCACGCAGTAGATACTCAGTTTTTTTTAACAGAAACCTGTTAACTGTTTGTTAGTGAAATGCTCATTTTTTCCACTTAGACTTACTTTGCGTCCTGTAAATAGCGAATGCTCTCTTGGCGCGACGCAGCTGGCTCTTAAAGGGAATGGGAGATGAGACTCTAATTGGTTTATTCTCAAAACACACCTATAACTCATTAAGAAAATAAACTCAACCCTTTTAGACCATGCACCACGGCGCAAAGCAGATTTTCCTGTCCTTAATTTAGCAAAAATGCGTTCTGACACGCCCTGAAAGTGATTGCGCCCTGCGTTTTGCGCTCTGCGCATGGACCGTCAAAATAGAGCCCATAGAGTTAACAGTGTATACATTTGGGAACAAATTCTGTTTATTTTGCAGGTGGCAGCGTACCAGGATATGGTACTGGCGCAGGTCCAGGTGCAGGATATCAACAACAATATCCAGGTAATAAAAAGGACTTTCCAGGTCTGCAAAGGATTTCTCAACTTTGCTGATTCAAGAAAACTCAAGTTCACATAAAAGAGAAAAAAAATAGTCACTATTTACTCACTTTCAGTTGGTTCCACATCTTTATGACTTTCTTTATTCTGTTGAGCACAAATGTTCAATATAGAAATGTTTTATTGTAGGTTTTGGCGGTCCTGGTGCTGGTGGTCCTGGAAGTGCTCCACTTACACCTCAGCAATGTAAGATGTTGTTACACAGTGTTAGCGAATATTCAGATACAATAAATGACATTATCCAAAGCCAATAGTAAGTATTGCATTCAAGTGTGTGTTTGATTCTATACAGCAAAAGCCGCCAAATATGCAGCTCTTCAAGGCTTTCTTGGTGCAGGAGGCTACAGAGGTATGTAAACACATTTCTTTTAATCTTTTCTTTGGCTTAAATTGCAAAAACCTGACAAAACAGTGATGTTATATGTTATATGTTCATTCTAAATCAAACCAAGCAACCCAATCAAACTGGAAACAGTAACTATTTGACATTTTGGCATATAAATATCTAAGAAAAACAAAGAGAAAGCATGAATCCTGAGACTGAAATTGCTGAGAGATTGTGTTACAATTGATTGTATAAGTCGTCACCTTATAATTATTAGGTTCTATCTGACATTTTTGTCTAAGTTTAGTTATTGACATATTCAATGACATTTAAGTCATATTAAATGACAACTTATTTACATTATGGGATGCTTTTTATAAGTTGTTTACATTTTAAGACTTTTTATTTAAAAAACAAATGTTACACACATACAGCATATCTATATGGAATGCAAAAACTTTAAAGCTCAATATCTCAAAATCATTCAGAACGCAGATAGAACCTTATAATTCCAAGGTGACAAAATGGCAATTCAGTGTTTCAATTCAGTATTTAAAGCAAAATGGGTTAAGCACAATATTAACCTTGATTTTATTTTATTTTCAAATATCATCAAATAAATTCTTTAACAAAAAATACATTTCAACATGGTCGAAAATGGAGCGGGATGAAGCACAAGCTTATTACATCCTTAAAGTCAGAAAAAGTACTGAAGCCAAAATACTGTGAAGATTATTAAAGTAACTGGATTATTGTTTAAAAAATTATTAAAATTAAAACATTTTGTTGCTTGAATAAATAGTGTTATTATAGAGAAAAATGTCCATATTTTAGATTCAGTCCTCTCAAAATACCACAAAAATAAGTATTGAAATGAAATATACGTTAATATCCTTTAAAATTTTAATATTTTAGAAATGCGAACATTAGAAACATGAATCTATATCGAAAGTCTTTAAATAGTTTGTATTTGCTTTTATTTTCTATTCCTCAACTTATTTTTCTCCAAATTTAGATTCCTATAGTTGTTATTATTATTTTTAAGTCATGGTTGGTTGTGTAACTTCATTTTAATGTGACAAATAACATATAGTTGGAATCAACTGTAGTCAAACTAATTAGCCACCCATTTATTTTTTTCCCTATTTTTGTTTAATGGAGAGATTTTTCTTTCAACACATTTTTAAACAATAATAGTTTTAATAACTCATTTCTAATAACTGATTTATTTTAATTTTGCCATGATGATAGAACATAATATATTTCTAGATATTTTTCAGGACACTTCTATACAGCTTAAAGTGATATTTAAAGGCTTAACTAGGTTAATTAGGTCATCTAGACAGGTCAGGGTAATTAGACAAGTTATTGCATAACCATGGTTTGTTCTGCAGACTATCGAAAAAATATATAGCTTAAAGGGGCTAATAATTTTGACTTTAAAATCGCTTTTAAAATATTAAAAACTGCTTTTATTCTAGCTGAAATAAATCAAACAAGACTTACTCCTGAAGAAAAAATATTATCAGACATACTGTGAAAATTTCCTTGCTCTGTTAAACAATATTTGGGAAAATTTTTAAAAAGAAACAAAAATTCAAAGGGGTGCTAATAATTCTGACTTTAATTGTATTTAACATTAACATATTTTTATAATTTGACTTTTAAATGAACAATACCAGGGTGTACAAATAATAACACCAAATATAAAAATGAAAACAGAATATGCAACATTAAAATCAAATGCAAAATATTACTAAATTCAATTTCTTAATGACCCAAACATAACAGCTTAAATGAATCATGTTAACGTGATCTACGTCCTGTATCAGTAGTGACCATGTGTTTTCCTGTAGGAGGCGCAGGATGTCAAGGCAAATACTGCGGCAGGAGGAGGAAGTGACAATCCAGCCGATAGAAGTGACCTCATAAATAAGTGGTGCTACTGCCTGATCTCAAATGCACTTTTTACAGTCTAAAAGTGCCTCATTGCAATATGTGAGAGCGAGAGAAATTTGGACCTGCATTACAGGAATTCTGCAGCCGTAGTATTAGATGTGAACCTCTCAATGCACTTGTTGCACTGCCTCGACTCCCTTAACTTGTCACAACGCGTTGCTTTTACAAATGTATTTTTTCAGTTAAATCAGCAATATTAGCGTGTTATATTTAACTTCGACAGTTCTAGCTGTACATCTCTTCAGCTGCTCACTTAAACCTAGCCGAATATTGAGACGCATTTCATCTGGAGACACAACGCTGCTATTTCAGGATCATAGATATATACACTAGATATCGCACAGGGATCCTGAGCATGCGTCAATAGCGCCGCCACATTGGTACAGTGCTCCCAGGACAAATGTCATTCAACCGCACTAGTCAAGACAGTGTTATTACGTGAAGATGCTGTACTTTAGCGCTGTCTACGGGTGTAGTAACGAGCAAACAAAGCACAAAGGCAGAACATTTCATAGGTAAGATTATGTTTTTTTCTGTTTTTGTATGTACTGAACTTTTTCAGGTAACGTTATTGATGATGACAGTCACTTACTGCATTCACCATAAGGCAAAGCAGCTCCAACTCGCAATAAACACTCGGCTTATGCTAGTTTTGTTGAATAAAATCAGCAAACAATGCAAAAGAAATATGACAACGAGATGCTGCGCTGCCAAAAACTTTATTGTCGGCTAACGTTAGTGAAAGAGTCGTTCGGGGGTTTCATTCACAAACGAATCGCTCCCTCCGTCAGTATGAGAAGTGAAAGCAGGAGAGGAGCTGTGTTTCAGGACATGATTAGATTAAATTTAACAGGGAGGGTGAATAGTACATTTCTGTACACACAAACACAAGCTTTTTGTCAGGAATGCCCGTGCGGTCACTGATCCATCAATGTAGAAAAGTGATGTAAAATTATAATTTTCGTAATTAGAAAATAAAAATTACATACTAACGTCCAGGAAAACTCCCGATCACAGATATATGTGTATATGTGTATATCTCTGGCTTTGCATGGCCACAGTCCTCCACTATACCTTGGTCCCGCATTCATTTCAAAGGAGCGCTACCCTGTAGCAAGATGGCGGCGCTATTGACGCATTCCGTCCAATAGACAACAAAAGGCCAGGCAACATCTAGTGTATATATCTATGTTTCAGGATGAGCTGTGACAGACTGGTATGGCAAGCCATTTAGACATTTAATCTAAATCCACTAGTGTCGATTTTCATAAATCCTTTTTTTATTTTTATTTTTTTGTTAGATACTAGTGTCTTTTTCAGTCCTTTAGCTAGTAATGATTATTGTTTAGATACTAGAGCCTTTCTTAAAAGATACTAGTATGTATTCATTATATGCAGGTATTTATTAATCAGATACTAGTTAAAATAATAGTACTTATTTATTAGATATTACTATTTATTTATTAGATACTTGTCCTTATTCATTAGGTACTAGTACATATTTCATTAGTGACTAATAACCAGGGCCGAAGCAAACTGAACTGCTGATCTAGGCTAACGGCGATCACGCCGCCCTCAAACCGTAAGTGAAAGCAAAAATTAACGTCCCAAAACCGGGGGTTGGGGGGGATTTGTGGGATATGTGGGGGTTATATATTGCAGATGAAAGTAATGACCGTGGGTAGGTTATTTGGGGTAGCGGTCGCCGTCCTCACTATTCTGCCGTCTTAGGCAGCTACCTACTGTAGGTCTCCTCTATGGACGCGCCGGCCCTGCTAATAACTATTCTATTTTTACTTCAAATTAGAATTTAATTAGGATTTTTACATTCAAATTGACATTAGCAATTGATTTTTGCAACAGCAACAGCCATATCAACCTACAGCCCCTGGTCAGTACCTGAAAGGGATACCACATGGGAAACTAGGTTGCTAGTCCAAACCCACCTGAACCAATAAATTAGGACCTGAAATCCACTTAATAATCACAGACAGGTGTGTTTGATATGGGTTGCAACTGAAATCTACAGGAAGGTAGATCTCCAGGAACAGGATTGGCCACCCCTGCCATAGGGTATGTTTATACGGCAATGATTTAGCCACGATCATGGGGAGAACATGCAAACTCTACACAGAAATGCCAACCGACCAAGCCGAGGCTCAAACCAGCGACCTTCTTGGTGTGAGGCGATTGTGCTGCCCACTGCGCCACCATGATGCCCCATAAAGCAATTAAGCTGTTCCAAAAAACCTTAAGAATTGTGTTGTTTCAACTCATTAAAAATAAGCAGTAAAATTCAATAGTACTTATTAAAATTGTTACTAGTAAGATTGTTTATTTTACTAGTAAAATGTTTGTAAATTACTCTACTGTGGCCATTCATGTCACAAGATGGTACCATGAAGATTATACCAAAAGAAGTCAAGCAATATTAGTAACAATAGAATAGTTGATAGACTTTTTGAAATAAGTACAGGTATCTAATGAATAAGTATTCAAATCTATTTAATAGTATTAAATAAGTAGTATCTAATGAAAAGGTAGTATCTAATGATTACATATACTATTTTCCATTTAAAAGTTATTAGTATCTATTAAATAAGAACTAGTGGACACAAATCGATATTGTGTGTTTCATAGACCATTTTGTGGAATGTAAACAATAACAATAGTCCTAATGTATTTCCTGTTTTACATTTTTAATTTCTATAGCTTCCGAGTATCCAAAAAGGTCCGCATATTGATAAATAATGTTATGATAGCTGTTTATGATTGAGTTGCCTCTTGTAACAGTTTAAAAGTTTAACAGCAAGCAGGAAATATTCATGTGCCATGACATCACCACATTGAAATGGTCTATAGATTAATTGTTAAATCGGCTTGCCACAGTTGGGAAAGCAGCAACATTATTGTTTAGGAGTCTATTTCTTTCTAGCTGTGTGCTTATTAGTTCACAAATTCATATGTTGTATTCTCCAGCAGCTTCAGTCATTGGTCACACAAAGAAATGGGATCAAGGCATGCAATGTGCGTGTGTTTTTTTGTCTTATAAGAACAAAATGCTTGTCGTAACTGCGGTAGACAGCATCTAAGTGTACTGAGGATTACAAGCTGTTGTCTTCAATGATACCTCAGGAACTTGAAGAGCTCTCTTTTCTAGTATCCTGACCCTATAAAACCTTGTTTTTTTGTTTGTTTGTCTTAATGTAACTCTTATTAAATTAAAATGTTGTGTTTTTAAGGATATCTGTGCATTTAACCAGACTTGTTTTGGTTTTTTATTAAGCATTGTGAATGATCTTATTGTGTTTGTATAAGTGCAACTGTTCAAATGTGAACTGCAAGGCAGTTCATTTAGTGCATTTTTGTGAAAATAAAACCCGTTCACATTTTTGTATCACCTTTGATTTTGTTTGAGCCTTTTATCCCTCTTTAATTTCTGAAAATAAAACTGTAAAAACAGAATCATGTTTTTGTTTTCCTTTTCAATTTACACTTAACATGCAGGAGTTATTTTGCGACATGAAAAGGCATTTTCAAAATATTAAAGAGAAAGTTTTATAAAATATATGCGGTCAAAAACTATTCTGAATTTATGAGTTACATTATATTTCTATAAATTTAAATTGCAGCTTTAAGTTAGCAAAACTTGATGTAAACAAACTTAGGCATACTCAATTAGTAGTGCCTAAATGAATTTTCAATGAAAATTATTAATGAATAATTAATTAATATTTGTCAATAATTTGTTTCATATTTAAACTTTAATATTGATCTTTCCCAAACTGAGTAAAGTCACTGTGATTTTATTATAATAATATTGTCACATATTTTCAATATTGAAAATATGATAAAATAAAACGAAATTATTCTCTGAGTGTATCACCCAACAAAAATTCCAGTATACCAACATTGTGTATGTGTGTACTGTGCGCGTGTGGTGTCTGTGTGTAAGTCATAATCTTTTTTTCATCACAATCATTCATCAAATTTTATTCCTTTTATAAATCTGTCCCAAATGATGTTTAACAGAGCAAGGGATTTTTCATAGCATTTCCTATAATTTTTTGTTTTGTTTTTTTGTTTGGTCAATATTATTAGCCCCCTTAATATACATTTTTTATTGTCTTGAACAAACCACTGTTATACAATGACTCTCCAAATTAATCTAACTTGCCTAATGAACATTAGTTAAGCTTTTAACTAGCATTTTAAGCTAAATACCAGTAACTTGAAAAAATATCCGGTGAAAATATATAGGCGTACTGTCATTACGGCAAAGATAAAAGATGAGTTATTAAAACTATTATGTTTAGAAATATGTTGGGAGGGGAGGCACGATGGTGCAGTGGGTAGCACAATCGCTTCACAGCAAGAAGGTCGCTGGTTTGAGCCCCGGCTGGGTCAGTTGGCATTTCTGTGTGGAGTTTGCATGTTCTCCCCGTGTACACACGGGTGTCCTCCGGGTCCTCCGTTTTTTCCCACAAGTCCAAAACATGTGGTACTGGTGAATTGGGTTAGCTAAAATTGTCCGTAGTGGATGTGTGTGAATGAGTGTGTATGGATGTTTCCCAGTGATTGGGTTGCAGCTGGAAGGGCATTTGCTGCGTAAAACATACACTGTAAAAAATTTATGGTTCCACACTATTCGGTCATGTTGTCCCAACACAGATTGATTAAGTTATGTAACTTTACACTTTTCACAAATTTATGTGGATTGAACATTAAAAAATTAAGTTGTCCCAAATGAAATCTCATTAAATGTGTTGTTTCAGCTCATTTTATTTAAGTAGTTTGAAAGAGCAAAAAATAAAAAATAATAATAATAAAATTGAGTGTATGCTAGATAAGTTGGCGGTTCATTCCGCTGTGGCAACCGCAGAATAATAAAGGGACTAAGCCAAAAAGAAAATGAATGAATGTGTTGGGAGCTTTTTTTGAAATTGAGGGAAAATATATAGCCAACAAGTGATTAATAATACTGACTTCAACTGCATTACATAGGCTACTACATACATATTAATGTCGTTTTGTTGAATTTATTTAAATTGCCTTTCTCCTTCTACATCTTCCCTTTTAAAAGCCTGCATGTACAGTAACTGATCCACAAATGTGTGGCGAGTATTTCCAAAGCAACATCCCGATTTCTCCCGCATGAAGCACACGCACACACAAACTGTCCTTCAGTCTCGGCGGTCATAGTTCATCACGAGGGCATCAGCAGGTGACAGGCTGCAGTACATACAGTAACTTAATCCTCCGACAGCATATTCATTCAGTCTGCACACCAAAAGTAGAGAAGGTGGGCTAAAGTTAGCAGGAGGGGGAGGGAATGTCTCGTTCACGGTTCAGACACTTGCCAGGAAGCAGAAGCGCAGCTCAGTATTGCAGATAAGAAAGAAAAGTTTTGAGTCTGTTTGCAAGTGTTTTCCTCTCCTC